ATGGAGCGAAGCAGCAGGGCGGAGGCCGTGAGCTCAGATGCTAAATGGAGGCACTTGGAGCGCGGCCAACAAGGCGAGACAGCGCAGAGAGCCCAGGGAAAGAGCCGCCGAGAGCCGCCCAAAGCAGGGCATGGGGTCCCAGTACTCTCACAGGGCAAACCGAGGCGTGGGGACAACAAATGCGGGCTGGAGCCACTCTGCCCCGAGACGTGAAGCCCCCACTGAGATCAAAGGAAAAGGGGAACCCCCCGCCCACAGAGAGCCGCCCCGCGGTTTCCCACCTCTGCCGTCCAGCGGGTCAAGCACGGCGGCCTCGGGCCGTGGGGCGGCCGCCTGCCCCCGCAGCATCATGCGGATGCGGACCTGCTCCTGGACGCGAGCGCTACGCAGCCGCTGGGCCTCGGCCGCCTCTCGGCTGCGACCATCCAGCTGGCGGTCCGAGGGCAGAGCCAGCGAGCAGACGCCGGCCTCGGGCTGCAGGGCCGACAGCAAGAAGGCATTAGTCTCCTGCATGGCAGCGGCGAGCGGGGCCGAGGCGAGCGCGGCCGCCCTGTGCAGGTGTGTGCGGCTGTGACGGCGGCGGGGCCTTCCCTGAGCTGCAGGGAGGCACCCGGCCCGCCCCGCCGCCGCCACGCCTCGGTGCTGCGGCCACCTGAGCACAGACGGGAGCAACGTGGGCCCCGAGGCCAAAGGAGCCCACCCAGGATGCCCACAAGCAGGGAAGGTGGACGTGCCCGCAGCCACAGTGAAGAGCACTGGACGGGCTGCCTGGGCAGGCTCCTCCATGGACCCCAGCAGGCTCAAGGATGCAAAAGCCCCTCCGTGTGGCCTCCAAGTTGACCTCTGAACCACTGAGTGGCCTCTCCCACCAGCCTGCCCCAGGCTCAACCTACACATCGACACCCAGACCCCTGAGCAGCCTCCACATCGACCCCCAGCCCTCCACCAGCCAGCCCTAGACCCCAGGCAGCCTCCTCAGAGAGTCCCAGAGCCCCACACAGCCTCCGCATTGACCCCTAGCAAGCCACAGGAACCAGCATCCTCCCCCAGACCCCCACATGGCCTTGCCGGCCACCTCTAGACCCCAGCCCTCCTTGGAAAGCCCCAGACACCCCCACGTGGCCAGCTAGGAGGGCCCTGGAGCCCCAGGCACACTGCACATTAACCCCTAGAGCCCTGGGCAGCCCCATGGCGAGCCCTGGACCTCCAGCCGACACCTAGCTATCTCCCTGATTAAGCCCTAAAAGAGCCCACCACCACTGTTGGGGCATGGTGGCCAATCCCTCCCTGCTTTGCTTTTCAAATCAGTTGGGAATTACAAACAAACAAACAAATAAATAAATAAATGAATAAATAAATAAATAAATAAATAAAACCATGAGGCAGCTGAATGCTGCTGGGCTGGTGGCTCTGAGCACAGAGGCAATGAATGCGGGGTGACTCAGCCACTGCTGTGCACAGGTATTAATTAGGCTCACCCCACCCGCCCAGCCACCCCGACCAACCCCAGCTTGTGGGACACGCCTGCTCCCAAAATCCCCAGCGGCTTTGTTCCACTGCTTTCCCCCTGCCTGAATTCTTGGAGGGAGCCACGCACTCCTGACACAAGTTGTGTACATTCTCATCCTTGGGGCGGGAGTGAATGGGAACGTCAGTGCCCCTGGTGGCTTTCGCACTCAGCGTCACTGCTTTGGCCCCGCCTGGCAGAAGCGTTTTGGGGTTTGGCAGCCAGTGAGCTGGGTCAGGCTTGCAACACCGGGTGCTGACAGCTCAGGATGGCTTTTGTCCTTTTGTAGGAGGTGGGAGAAAGAGCGGTGAGGAATGTGCCGTTGTCAGCAGGAGCAGCTTGCTGTGGGACAGGGGAGTGTTCCAAGGGCAGGGATCTGTTCCCTGCAGTGGTAAGGTCCCTGATCGTGGTGGCCAACCCCATTGTGCCTGGGGACCTATGACCCCCAGGCCCTCCCCATCTTTATCTGGGAAGTTTCGTAGGGCTTGGAGTAGGGGTCGCAGCCAGTCCTTTTTGGGGTCTACAGCCCTAAGGGGACCATTCACAGCTCTGTGCCACCCACACGGATGCACAGCACTTGGCAGTGCTCAGCAAGGCACTCCCAGCCCGCATGAATCATAGTTCCCCCCCACCCCGAACAGGAGGTTCACTCCCCATGCATGTTGCTGCTTGCTCATGGCTGTATACCAGGCTCCAAGGGGTGGGGGGATACCTCCAAGTACATCCCTACATCCCCAAAGCAGGGAGTTGGGGCTGCAGCTCTGCAAAAGGCTTTGGACTGGATGCTTAAAATAAAAAAATAAATTAAAAAATACAGTAATTTGCTATAAAAACCGTATTTGGAGCAAAACTGAGGAGATGCAACCACACTCAGAGATGCAGAGATGAATAAACCTAGCACGGACACACCAGGAAAGGCACCCCAAAGGCACTTCCCTCTGTGGGGTGACCGCGCACCGTGGCCTCCACAGTACACCAATGCCTGTTGTTCCCAAAGCCCCACTGAGTGCTGGTCCCGAACAGCAGGTCCTGTGGCCACCGATGCCACCAGCAACAGGGAGTGGCCAACAGCACAGCAGCACATGTGCCCGGACTGTCCCTTTCACAGCAGAGAAACCGAGACATGAGGACACTGGGGAGGGGTTGGGGATGCTGCTTGGTCAGAGCTGGCCAGGAGCACGCAGCTGATGGATGACCCCATCAGTTTCCCAATGGCATCCACATCCCCTGGCATGATGTCAACCCGCACTGGGGACAGCCACGCTCGCAAAACACTTACCTTGTTGGGTGGCCCCACAGGGCTAGTGCCCTGCAGCATCCTCTGGCTGGGTGCACCCCTGGGTGCTGTTGGGGAGCCCTGGCGTGGGGTCGGTGATGCCGTCTGTGCGGTGGTGGGCGTGGGGCCGCAGCAGGGCCCGCCCCGGGAGCTTACCCAACCAGTCCCTTCACCGTTGTTTTGCATGTGTGCTCCAAACCCACTTGCCTCTCAGTCAAGTTTGTGCTTCTGGGGCTTGTGGCAGGGTTTTGGCTCTTCATGGCTCTGCATGATGCCACACTGACCCACCTCCTGGATCTGCTGCCAATGGAGATCCCACCTTCATGATGCTCTGGAAAGCACCTTTGGTCCCTACTCCATGGCCTTTGGCCAAAGTGTCCATTCCAACATATTCCATTGGATCCCCTGTTCTGCCACAGGGAACCATACAAGAAGGGCTCCAAAAGGAAAAGAGGGAGTGGAGGCAGAGATGGGAGGCACAGCCGTTGGGGCAGGAGGTTCCCCACGCCCTGGAGGCTCCCAGGGAGCATGTCTGTATGTGTGGGATTGAACAGGATCCCTTTGAAGACCAGATAAGCTGAGAGGAGCATTCCAAACAAGCTAAACCAGTTCCAGGGCCATCGCTTCCAACAGCACCACAGCCAGCACTGGCCGATCCCTTTGCCCACCACCATTTCTTCGCTCAGCCATATAGGGATGTGCTGAGCCACCCGCTTAGTGCTGCGGTTCAACTCTGCCCCCCCCCCCACGCCGTGAGACCCAACAAGCCCCAGCGTGACATTCCCTCCAGGGCAGGGAGAGCTGCTTGGCAAATGCCTCTCTCTATTGCTCCTTGAAGAAGTGGAGACCTCCAACACTGGAAGAGGCTCTATATCATAGAAAAATAGAAAGCATTAAGGCTGGAAAAGACCTCTAAAGATCATTAAGTCCAACCACAAACCCATCACCACCATGCCAGCTCAATGCTAAGTGTGCTTTGGTGCTGATGGCTTCATTGGGAGCTCCAACGGCAGTTCAGCCCTCTCTAGTGGCTGGAAAAGTTGTGCCTAAGGAGAAGTGGCTTTGGGGATCAAGCCATCCACCCTGCCCAAGACTTCTCCACCCCCAGGCCACCTCCTGGTGTAGCGGGCAAAGCCCTCACCCACAACAAAGTACTTAAAAAAAGCTCAAAAATACAGGGAGCTGGGCAATGAGAGAACTACATGAGTGGCACAGGGGAGAAAATCCCCCCTGCAGAGACTGACAGAGACTGGGCAAACTCGGAGGGGGGCTCTGGGGACACTTGCTGGGATACTCTCAGGGCTGATAGTGCCCAGCATTGCCAGACCACAGGGTGGTTTTAGCCAATGCTCCTGCAATGGGGCGAGACCCAAGTGTGGGGTGGAGGCTCCCCAAACTCCCTGCAAGCCCAAGCGTGCACTGGGGCATCAAAGGTACGTGGCTGCATCCTCCTCCCCTTCCCTGCATGCTGCCAGCCCTCCTGGGACTGCAGCCACAAGGCAGAGGGTGACACTGCGAGAAGGAAATCCCAGTCAAGACGTTGATTTTAATTTTTAAGAATTAAAAAACAAAAACAAAACAACAGAATAACAACAACAACCCCCCCCCCCCCCAAAAAAAAAAAAGAAAAAAAGAAAAAAAAAACAGACAGAACTTCCTGAAAACAGCTTCCTACCTCATAATTTCACAGAAATTAGCTTGGAAACATCATTTGCTCTCCCCAGTCCTGTACCTGCTTTGGGCTCTGCCCTTTCCCCCCCCTCCCCTCCCACCAGCCCACCCTGCTGATGGGGGCCAGGAAGGGGCTCTGCCCCTTGTCCACTTCACCCAAAGCAGCCAGGGCAGAGCTTTCTCCCATCCAAGGTGACCACCTGGCTCTGGGGGTGCCACAGAGAAGATAGGCAGCCCTGAGCAGATACCCCCACCACCCCAACAGGTATCTGCTCCAGCAGCCCCCCAACAAGGGCTCTGCCCTCCAGCCTGGCACTGGGCACTGTGCAGGGGATGCAGAGCTAGTGCTGGCTGCAAGCTCAGGTACCACTTTAATCCCTTCAGCATCACCAGCAAGACGTGGCCCCCAGCCTTGAGGCTTTGCTCTCTCAACAGCAGGACGCCCACTGCCTGGCGCTAATGAGTTAATAAATTCATTTCTGACTAAGAAATTAGACCCTTAAGAAAAAATCCACCTTCCCGCTTTCACCCACCCTCCCTCCCCATATCCACCCCAAAGTAACCACGGTTCATTTGGAGACCATGGTGGCAATAGTGCCCTCCGTGCTGGACCAGAGGGTTGGGGACACATGGGCACCAGCGGCGGCCAACCTCTGGCTGTGGTCTGTTAGCTGTGGGCTGGGCTCAGGGTGTTAGTCCTTGGGTGACTTCTTGCTGTGAGCATTCCACATACCACGCTTGGAGTGGTAATAGTGGTAGAAGTTCCTGAGACGCAAGCGCTCCACCTCCAGCCCGCTCTGAAGGACCCTGCAGTCAGACACATGGACAGCTGCTCAGGGAAATGAGGGGATGGACACAACCAAATCCCTGCCCGTAGATGGGGGGTTCCCATCACACAAGTGGGGGTACAGGGGTCCTGGTGCCTCCAGCCTCACCTGTCCAGGAGCTCCCAGTCCTCTCCGCCCCAGCGGTCCCTGAACTCCTCCGTGTTCATCCCTCCAACGCGGTCAAAGTCTGACTTGTAGATGCCAAAGAGACCAAAGCCATTCACCTCCCAGTAACCTGGAGGGAGGAGCAGTGAGATCCCCATCCCACCATACCATCACCCTTGGTGCTCCCAGGAAGCCACATCCATGCTCTCACCTCATCCCAATCTCTCCCCCAGTTCTCCCTTCCCACCACAGCTCTGTCTCCATCATTGCCACCTCCTACTGGGGTCCACAGAGTAACACTTCAAGTTCTGGAGAACCCTTGGGCTCAAATCTCACCCCACCAAAGTAGAACAAACCCATCCAATCCTGGCTGTAAACCAAACCCAGCATCACAGCAACACTCAGGTGCACAGGTGATATCTCCCATCTGGAAGGTGGCACAAGGAAGGGGACCGCTCACCATTGGGCTCCCGTGGGGAGCTGCCACAGCTCAGCCTCATGACAATGGGCGCATAGGCCAGCTTCCCTTCCACACAGTGCTTCCGGATGCTGTCCAGGATGTTGGAGGGAAAGTGGATGTGCAGGTCGCACAGGAACACGATGCTGTGCCCATCCTGAGGGTTGGGACAGACACAAATGGGAGGCTCGCAGCCAAGCCACACCGGGAGCTCCAGAAGCCCCAAGTGGAGCAGTGTGTCCTCACCTCAACCATGTCCACACCAGCCTGCAGCCCTGCTGAGCGTTCAAAGTTTCCTGTGCGCCGTAGGTACTGGTAGCTGAGGGGAGAGAGCAGGGCAGTTAGCTTTGGTGATGGGAAGGGACCTTCTCAAGGGGACAAACACTATTTAACACCTTTTGCTGGTGGCATGGACAGCAAGATTGAGGGCACTCTCCGCAAGTCTGTGGATGACACCAAACCATGCGGGGACAGACATGCAGGAGGGAAAGAATGGCATCCAGAGGGACCTCAACAGGCCTGGAGAGATGGGCCTGTGTGAATCTCATGAAGTTCAACAGGACCAAGTGCAAGGTAATGCACCTGGATCAGAGAAAACCCAAAGAGAAAGTCAGGGAACCGGGAGAACAGAAAGCTCTGGGGAGAACAAATAGCAGCCTTCCAGTAGCTAAAGGGGCATACAGGAAAGCTGTTGTGGTCTCTATCAGGGAGTGTGATAATGGGAGAAAAGATAACAGTTTTAAACTGAAAGAGAGGAGATTAAGGTTAGACAGTAGGAAGAAATACTTTACTCAGAAAGTGGTGAGAGACTGGCACAGGCTGCCCAGAGAAGCTGTGGATGCCCCTTCCCCAGAGGTGTTCAAAGCCAGGTTGGATGGGACTTTGGAAAACCTGGTCTAGTGAAAGATGCCAGCCCATAACAGGGGGTTGGAACTAGATGGACTGTAAGGTCCCCCCAACCCTAATACTCCATGAAGAAAGGGGCCACTTCAAGCCAATGGTTGTGACAGGACCACCAGGATGGCCTGCCCATCTATGAGACCACCAGCACAGGACTACAGTGGGATGTGGAGAGGATGCAGGGATCCTTGGGATAGGTTACCGAGGCAGCTGGGCATCCTGCAGGGCTTTCTCGACATCCATGTCGTCGCTGTCAAAGTCCACCAGGATGACGTTGAAGTTGGCATCCTTTGTAATGTCATACAGGCTGACCATGTCTGAGATGAACTGCTGGACCCAGCGCGCCTGGTTCTTCACTGCCGGGCACAGCCACAAACATCCTTCAGACTTTAGGATCCCCACACTAGAGGTCCCAAAAAAACCCCCAAACCAGCAATCGGTCACATTACACCAGATAACCTCAACACTGCTATGGGTCTGGCCTCCCGAGAGCCCTGATAGCTCTTGTCTTAGGGAAAGGCACTTGGCAGTACCCCAGCCATGGGCATGTCCCTCAACCCCAATGCCTGACACAGACTGCTTCAAGCCACAGCCACGCCCTCCTGGCTGCCTGCACTCCTTGAATCTGCCAAGAGGATGCAAAATCCCACCAGACAATGCTGTGGGCAGCAAGAGACGTGCCAGAGAGATGCATCCTGCTGTCACCTACCAGGTACCACGAAGTGCACCATGATGTCCTGCTTCCAGCTCAGCTGCAGAGGCCGACACAGAATGGGCTTCCCATAGAGGATGCTCCAGGTGCTTGGCTGGGTCTCGGTGGCCCCCACGGCTGGTCCCTCAGGGTTGGCTTCAGCACTGTCATCCTGCTTGCCTTGGTGCAAGAGGACATAGACGTACTCAGAGAGCCGAACTGTCCGCTGGCCCCGTTCTGCTAACTCCAGCTCCAGCAGGTAGCGGTTGCCCCGAGCTGTGTCCCGGCGCTTTTCCACATTAATGATCCTCAAAAGGGTGTAAATGCTGTGGAGGAAGGAGAAACAGGTGAAACAGCCAAAATACAGATTGAGTGGGCCAGCTGTGAGATGGGTTGGACACTGCCTAGCATGCTGCACTCGAGAGGATGGCAAGCAATGATTTATACTCAGGCTGGCAGCCTGTAACAAGCAAGGTCCCCTAAGGAAGGACATTGGCCTCCGTGCCATTCTGTATCTTCATAAATGATCTGAACAATGGGATTGATAGTACCCTCACCAAGTTAGAACAGGATGGCGAGGTGTACATGGCATTAAGTTTAACAGAGACAAGTGCCCACTCCTTTACCTGGAAAGGTATAATCAAAGAGCCCAGCGCAGGCTGGAGAGGGTCACAGAATCACAGAATGGCCAGGGTTGGAAGGGACCTCAAGGATCATGAATCTCCAACCTCCATGTCACATGCAGGGCCACAATGCTAGACCAGGGTGCCCAGGGCTCCATCCAACCTGGCCTTTAACACCTTTGGGGATGGGGCATTCACAGCCCCTCTGGGCAGCTGTTCCAGCACCTCACCACTCTCTCTGTAAAGAACTTCCCTGACATCCAACCTAAATCTTCCCTCCCTCAACTTAAAACCATTTCCCCTCGTCCTGCAGTTATCTACCCTTTCAAAGAGTTGAAACCCCTTGAGGGCCCAAGGGAGAGCCAAAAAAATGGCCAGAGGGCTCAAGAACCTGTCGTATGAGGAAAGTCTGACGGAGTTGGACTTTTTCACAAGAGAGAAGAAAAGGCTCAGGAAGGGCTCATCACTGTATCACAGCTCTTAAAGAGCAGCTAGAAAGAGGACAGAGGCTGTCTCTTCACTAAGAGCCAGACAGTGAAGACAAGGGGCAACAAGTACAGACTATACCATGAGAGGTTTTGTCCTGGTAAAAGACAAATTTTTTACAGTGAGAAAACAGCACTCACTGGAACCACCTCCCCAGGGACATGGCAGCATCTCCATCACTAGAGGTTTTCAAGGTGTGGTAGGACAGGGTGCTAGGTAATTTCCTTCCCCAGAGGTTGAGCCTGATAATCTTTGGAGGTCCCTTCCAACATGGGCTGCTTTACCACTCTAACCCAATGTCCAGCCCACCTGGTCCCAAAAAGCCAAATGGGGCCAAGACACATCCTATCCTCCCCACTTCCCACCCACACCATGCTGCCTCCCTACCCCCCATTCTTCTCGTTGAGCTTCTCCATGTACTGGGCCACCACATCGACCACCTCACTCTCACTCAGCTGCAGGTTGCCCGAGACGTTGCAGCGCAAGTCATTCCAGTCGGAGCGCAGGAGCTCGAAGTCCACCGAACTGACACTGAACGTCCTCTGCCAGTTGATGGAGTCCTCCAGCCAGCTCTGCGGCAGCTCCCCTGTCTCATAACTGTAGTCTGACACCTCCTCTTCCTCCTCTTCCTCCTGGCCCTTTCCCTCCTGCTGGGATGCTGTTATCTCTGATGTCTTCAGAAAGGACGTCACCCGTGTCCCCTGTGAGCGAGTCACCTCTGAGGAGTTGTAATCGGTGGTGACTGCCATCCTGCCTGGGGCAGTGGTCACATCCTCGTGGGTCTCCTTGCTGAAGATCCCTTCAGCCCCCAGTTCTTCCTGCTTGCTCACCAGCCGCCACCTCCTGTCACCCGCCCGGCTGGTCTTCCTCCTGGCTGACTCTCTCTCTTTGGAAATGTTGCTCAAGAGCCAAGGGGTCCGGTGGCCAGGGGCAGTTCGAAGCTTGCTGGGAGTGATGGAATGCTTCTGAGGGGTCCTGGAACGAAGCTGCACTTTCTTCAGAAGCTTTGGGTAAAGGAACATGTTGGGGAAGGCGGGCTCCTGGGCTGGGGCTTTGCGTTTGCCTGGCTGCAGCCTGGTCACATACACCTTCTCCTGGGCTTTCTTAGGTTTTCTGTCCTCCTTGGATACTACAGACTTGCTGGGAGCTGGTGTTTTGGCTTTGCCACCAAAGATGGGAACAGAGAGGTGAGACTGGAGGCTGAGCACCCCAGCACGCTTGGAGGACACCAGCAGCCCCAGCTCATCCTCCTCACTGGGCTCCTGGGGTAACCATCGAAGCATCCTTCCACGGACTCTCTCCTGCCCAGGTCCTGTGTCCCCATAGCCATGGGGGCCCACAGGAGTAGCTGTAGGGCTAGGAGTGGCAGGGGGCATGCTCCACCTTCCCATGCCCACCTCATCCCGCACCCGACTCTGCTTGCGGCGGAAGCTGTAGTAGTCCAGGTAGTCTCCATAATCTCTGGTGACTGGCAGAATCTCCTTCCTTTGGGTTTCAGGTACCAGCTCGAGGTTCTTCCTGGCTTTGGGAGGTGGGTCTGTGGCCTCAGGGCTGTCCACTGTATCCTCATCCTCCTCATCATCTTCGAGGAAATCTAGGGAACAAAGACAGAAGTAAGTTTCTCAAGGGTCCCTGCTCTCTGCAGCACTTGGGATGACTTGGGACAAGCAGGCAAAGCTTGTCTCCTTAAGGGGATCAACGAGAAAACTGAGTGAGGGAGTCCCTGAGTGAGGGAGACTGAGAGCTGGCAGGCACTGAGTGATGCTCAGCAGGGACGGGGGCTAAAGACTCCAGTAATTAAGCCCTCCAAACCTTGGCTAATTAACCCCTCCAAGCACATCTTTGGAGACACACTGATGCATTCCATCTCCCATCAGCTGCACTGGTGGGTTGGGATGCCAGGTCCTCAGCCCCATGCCGAGCCACTGAGAGATGCTTGAGAGCTGCCAGTGGGCAGGCATGACTCACTGTCTGGGTTGAGGAAGAGAAATGCTCGCTGACGTGGGTCCTCCTCCTCCTCATCCATCTTCATGTACTTATAAAAACCGAACCTGTGAAACAGAGATGAAAGATGAGGTCCCAGAGATAAGAGAGGGTTGCACAGGGAAAAGGTGCTTGCGAGCAGGCATGTGCATACTGCCATGCACATACACAAACGTGTGTGCAGGGGAACATCCTGGGATGGGAGCTGGGGTCATAGAATCAATAAGGTTGGAAAACACCTCTAAGGTCATCTAGTCTAACTGCCAGCCCATCACCATTATGCCCACTAACCATGTCCTCAGGTGCTACATCTACCCTCTTCTTGAACAAATCCCTGGGAGACAGGGAGGGACTGGGAGACAGCCTGGAGGTGGCCATTTGCTGTGGACAGGGCTTGGGGATGCACGCCAACACTTACTTCTCCAGGTAGAGCGGGGACTCCCTGTAGAAGCACTTGTTCTCCGTCTCCATGTGAGTGAGGCGCGTGAAGTCATTGGGGTACACAAACGAGAGGTAGACCTGGGGAGCCAAGCACTCCACCATCACCAGTGCACCCAGCTGGCTTCATCCCAGCACCCCAAAGGCATCACACAGTGCTCATCCCAAACCCATTTGGATCAAGAGGGGAAGGCTCAGCTCGAGCCTACACCAAAAGACACTTTCTCCTGGTTTTTAACCACGTTGAAACATCACAGGCAAACCAAGACCTACTATAGGAGCAAGAGCTTTGGCAAGTTCCCCTCCCAGGCATCACAGAGAGACACTTACAAATTGCAGGCCCTGGTAGCGGGCGATGGGGAAGTCCTTCACCACGTAGGTGGGGCTGTAGGCACAGGGCACCAGCACATTCTCCACACGGGACGGCTCTATTGCAGGGGCTGAGGAGAGGCAGGCATGGCTCAGCCCAACCTGTGCCCATCCCACGTTACAGTTTGTAGCCCAAACCATCCTAAATTGCCCCCAGAAGAGATGGCCTTCACCCCAGAGATGGGCAGAAGGTAGGGAGGATGCTCTGGAGCATCCAGGTCCTGCCTTCTTCGTTGAATCAGAGTGGTTTGGGTTGGAAGGGGCCAAAGAAAGTCGCAGAGCAGTGGGAAGTCCCAACCACTTACTGAGGAAGAAGGTATCCCTGGGGTCAGACTTGAGCATGTCAGCCCCATGCTCATCCCATTGTGCCTCCCAGAGGTAGCTTCCACTGTGGCTGGCCAGAGACTGCGGGATGTGCTCCACATGGTTCATCTTCAAAGTCGATTCGTCTGAGGGAGGAGAGGATGATGGCTGAACCCCTTGGTACACCACAGGACTCACCCTCTGGATGAGGGAAGCCCTGGGGACCCTCCAAGAGGCTGTGGGGGAGGATCCTAGTTGAATCCCACCACTCAGTATCAGTTCCTGTATCCCCCTGACTCAGCAGGGATACCCACCTGGGACAAAAGGGATGCACCCCCAAAAGGAGGCATGTGCGCAAACACATGATCTGTGTCCCCAGATTGTGTCCCACACAGGGAACAGCATGTCCCATAGGCCCCCGGCTCCTGGGAAGGCAAACCCAGCCCCTCCAGCCCGCTTGCAGGCTTGCAGACCCTGTGACTAATGAGACAAATGATTATTGCTATCAACTAATGACACATAGGAAAAGGGTACAGGCAATCTCAGCCAGGATCGCCAGCTCCCATTACAGCACTGCTCACTACAAACACAAGAGGTAGAAACACTCAGAGGCTTTGGCTCCCAGGGACACAGGGATTATGCCTTGGATTAAGCCTTCCCCTTCGAGCCTCAAGTAAATACAACATGACCTTGGTTCCTGCCCTTCTCCCATTTAAGGATTCCGGTGACACACTGTCCTTGGCTATTCACCAGCCCCCAGAGTGCCACTAAGGGAGGCAGGTCACCATGCCCTGGTCACCTTGGTCCCAGGTGGGGCTGCCTGTTCCCAGTATTCAGAGACACTGCAGGGAAGCAGGCAGATCCCAAGTGCAGTACCCAAAATGCTCCTTTGCGCAATAGGGACATGCTGGAGCACGGGGAGACATGGGACACGTTGCATTGCATCCTCAGCAGCCAAATAAGGAAAATGCTGGAGCAAGGGAAGGGGCAGAGCTTTAAACCCACAGGATAGGCACTCAAAAGTGGTTTGGCTTCACCCTGGGAAACGCTGCTGGGCTCCAAGGGAGCTGGCAAGTGGGAGAACATCAGTGCTGATGGATTGCAGCTGGGGGAGAATTTATCTGCACCTCATCCACCTCCTGCCCATCCACCCCTCTTCTCCCCATTGATCCCTGCGTGTTGCTTCAGTGACACCTTCCAGGGCGTGTTTGATGACCAGTCCTTATGCGCACTGAGTGCCAGGGCAGGGCCCATCCATCATATTCTTTCTTGCTGCCAGACTGATGAAGGGGCAGGAAACAGAAGATCTATAGATTTAATTAAATCCCATGCCATCCATTCCCACCTCCATGACAGCTCCTCATAACTCAAGGCCAAGGAGCTGAGCTGCTTGCCAAAGGAGCCAAGCCTTGTTAGCAAGGAAGAAGCTGGAGAGCAGCAGCCACAGGAGCTGCATTTCTGTGGCACACCACTTACTCATCCCATTTTCAGGAGGGCTGCAGCATCACCCCTACCTGCTGCAGCCTCATTCCTCCTATCCAGCAGAAGCCCTGGGGGGTTCGGACCCATCTTCCCTTGCATCTGGTTTCAACCAACATTTTGAGCCCAGGTGAGTGCAGCATGGTAGTTTGCTGGCTGCCAGCACCTGAGATGGTCCTTACCTGTGTACAGAGAAATGTAGGAAGAATCAATCACTTCGAACTTCAAGCTAGGGAGGAAAACTCGCCACTAGGAAAGAAGGAGATGGAGGATCAGTGGGAGGACGGGTCCTTCTCCACCCTCAGCTCCCAGAAACTATCCTCAACCCAACATCACAGCAGTGGAATGAGATGGAGGGCTGACATCTCCTAGCACAGGCCCAGACCTATCTTGTTCCTTAAACTGTCGTGCTCTGGGCTTGTTCCCGGCATGGCTGGAGAAGGGAAGACATCCAGAAGTGAGGCTACACTCTGGCTGCCACATATCTCAGACCCATGTAGCTCTTCTGGGCCAGGCAGCAGCTTCTTCCCAACCAGCATTCATTACCAGGGCAGCACAAACGTAGGATCAAGACCCTGACCCACAGCTGCCATTCACTGACCCCTAAACCACCTCCTCCTTCCCCTGCCTCTCTCCAGTGCTGCAAACCACTCAGACCTGTGTTGGCAAAAGCAGGAATGGGAACAGACTGAAGCAACCCCCTGCAGATCTCTGCTGCTGCTTTTAGAACTCCTTCAGCTGATTTGGAGCACATTAACAACAACAAATATGCATTGACTTCAGAGGGTCTTCACAGCTGCCTGCACTGATTTGATTGCCATTTAAAAGCATGCCCCAAATGGATGTGAGCCTTTGTACAGACAAGCCCTTACATACCCAGGGCAAGGGAAGCATTAGGGTCCTTTGTTGTCTCTCTACAAGCACCTGAGAAGCTTCCCTCCCTCCAGCAAGAAAACATTTCCCCCTCTCGTTTATTTTTCACATCAGAAATTCAGATCTTATCAGCACTGCATGCACCCAGACAGAGCACTCCTGAGTGCTGGGGAGGAGAAACACAAGAAAGAGCAGCTGTCAGCCTCTGAGATGCTTTGCTAGCACAAGTCTGACTCCAGTGATTAATGAGTGTTTGGGAGAAAAGAAACCTTTGCAAAAGAGCCAACATCTTCCCCTCCCCAAAAAAAAAAAAAAAAAAAAAAAGCATGAGCTCCTGAGAACAGCAGGGCTGTGCAGCCAGGTGGGCAAGTTCAGATCTGAAATTGCTGGTATCTACAAAGGAGAGGTGGGGAAAGAAAAAAGGGACCTGAGGCAGTAGGGTGGGCTAACAGCTCTTCAGGGCAGCAGTCAGTATCCCGGATGGTACCTGTCTGTTCCCATCTTATCCACGGTCTGGGCTCCTCTAAAAAGGGACCTTACCTTCCTGGCCAGCCCAATTCTCCATGAATATGGCAAAGGGAGGAAAAAAAAAAAAAAAAAAAAAAAAAAAAAAAAGGAGGATGGGACTAGCCATGGAGAGCTGCTGATCAGAAACAAGCCTGGAAGCAGCACAGGGGGATATTTACTCACGCCCACTTCCACATGGTCCGAGCCTCGGTCGTCTTGCTTGTGGAGCAGCTCAAAGTAGTAGCGCCTGGACGACATAAGGCTGCACAAGAGGGGGAGAGGCTGGGTAAGACACATTGCTGCTACTGCTGCCAGGGCAATGGGGTGGAGTCCCTGGACCCCCAGTGTCAGGGGAGTCATCTCTGGAAACCATCTCTGTCCTGCTCATGTGTGGCTAAAACTTCTTGGGGTAAGGAGAAAGGCAGGATGAGAGGGATATCTGCAACTAGTTCTACTGTTTTAACAGAAAAAAAAGGAACCTTAGCCCCTAACTCACGGCATCCAACACGTTTAAGGCATCGACTAGTGTTGGGTGTTTTGGGAAGGGGCTTGGCGGGATCAGTGTGGAACTTACCGTAGAGGCTTGGAAACCTGTGAGCTGAATTTGGTGAACTCTCCTGGAGCTGTCCACTCGGTACCCAGCTGGAGAAAGGAAAAATGAACGTCTAAAAGCTGCCAGCTAAGCAGGCACAAGCCCAAACCCTGCCAGACAGACGGAAAGAAGCTCTCCTCTGCCTCCACTAGGCACCATTCCATGGGCAGAAAGGCTCATCAGGCAGGACAGAAGGCTCCACCCCATGTTTTCCCTTGTCCCCCCCTCTGCTGGCATTCTTGGCACCGGAGCTTGTCACCAGACACAAGCAGCAAGATTCCAAAAGCATAGAAGTGTGAATCAAGACAGTAAGTTTTCCAGCTCCCCAGGAAAATCCAACAGCATACATTAAACCTCCCACCTTGGGACAGGAGCATCCCCAGTGCAGGGAAGTCTAGAGGGTGAATGTGCATACCTTGCCCACAAAGGCAGCCAGCCGTGAGTTGGATGGGCTCTCATCAGAACTGAGCCAGAACTCCGAATTGTCATCTGATGCCACAGAAAACTGGAAATCTCCTGAGGACAGCAGAGGAGAGATATACAGCAGTGCTGGTGTCCTGGGCTGGCTGGATGAAGGTAACAGTGTTTCCTTGTGGCACGAGGAAACAGAGGGATGGATGGACCTGGTAACATGGTGCCATGGACCCCACGTTCTGCTCTGTTCTGGATAGGACTAGTGCTTCAGCTTCATTGAAAACAATGGAAGAGGATCTCTGCTCCAGAGAGACCCTCCTGCCTGGGAGCCAGGGACTGTCCAACACTCCTTCTGCCCTCACATGGCCCAAGAAAGGGGAGAGGGCAGCTTTCCCGCACCACTGCAAGGGGAGAAAAGGCCCAAGATCTCCACTCACCATCCTTGAAAGGGTGAATGTAGCCAAAAATCCTTAGCCCGTAGTTCTTCCACTTGGGTGACACCGCCAGCTTCTTCACTGTGGTGCGGGTCTGGGGATGCAAAAGTACAAACAGTTAATACCTTGTGCCAACATTATCCACCTCTCATTCTCCTGGGGCTTTGTACCCCTAAAACCAGAGGGGTCATAGAGGTCCCATTGCTACCCAGATCTCTCCATCTCTGCCTTGAAGCCTGGCTGGCTCTTAAGGCCAGCATGCCCCAAAGGGAACCCAAAAACCTGCATGCCAGAGAGAAGGATGAGTGGGCCCTCCCTCCAACCCACCACCATCGGGTCTGGGACTCACATGCGGAAAGAGTGGAAAATGGAGGTTCTTCCTTAGGTGCCTCACAGCTCCTCCACACCAGTCCTCAAAAACATGCAGGTTCGCTTTCCCCTTGTACTGCAGAATGAGGGGAAGAAGGGAGAGATGTGCAAGTCACCTCCCAAGGACAGCATTAGGGCCAACCCTATGCTCACATCACCAAAACCCAGTGGATAATCTTCCTCCCACTGCTGCGAGGGCACCCTTTTGGTTCCCAAGCAGGCTCACGCAAGGACTGTTCCCCTTCTGGATACAACAGCAAAAGCCCAGCCCCACCATCACCCATCCCGTTGGAACCAGGAGGAAGACGCCACGCGATTCTTCCCCACCCCTCAAAACCATGATGTACCTTCTCATCCCAGGGCAGAACCTGCTTGGTCAGGTTGAGTTTGGGGCGCCTGGTGGCTCGTGAGCCTCTGGAAAAGCGTCCGTCCAAATCCTGTCCATCATTCTGCCAAAGAAGCAGGAGATGGGAGATGAGAGGTGTGGGGCAGCGGAGCCACAGCCAGCACACTGCTCAGATGTGCTTGCAGGACACTTCCTCATGCCTAAATACCTCATTTGAGATGCCAAGCATTTCCAAAGCAAGGGGAAAGCTTTCCAGGCTGAACGCAAAGGAAAGTGGGGCACCTCGCTACAGAAGAATGTTGGCAAGGCATCCCAGAGAGCAGGGCTTCAGAATGTTCCACCTCAACTTGTTTCCCATTCTCTGCCGAAAGCGCTCCTGCTCCAAAACAGCATGCTTGCTGTTCATCCTAAATGCCAGTCTGGCAGGCTATAGGAAAGGGACTATTTTGAGCTGCATTTCCAAAAGAGCAGGAGCTTGGGCAATAATGTGATCTGTACTTCTGCCTCCAGGCAGAGGCAGCAGGGTGCCTCCCCACTCTCCCTCTTCCTTTAAAGGGGATTAGATTAATCCGATCACTTGTGTCTCATAATTTAGAGGGATTTGGGGAGCAGTCACCTGCCTCCAGCTTGCTGAAGAGGAAGAGTCAGGCTCTTCTGGAGAACCATGGCACAAAGCACAGCCCATTACAATGTGCAGCGCAAAGGAAATAATTAGCAAACTTTTCCTAAATGATGTCACTAGTGTTCTGGAGGATGGGAGTGATGCTCTTCGGAGGCATTGTCTGGGTGGAGGCGTAATTGTGCTCACTGGGAAAGCAAGGGTGCAATTACAGCCTCGCTATAACATTCCAGCATCAGGGCCAGAGTATCCTGCAAGCAGGTGGGGACACCACAACAATAAAAGATGACAAACAAAGGACCAGCAGTGCCAATAGCAAGATCTGCAGCAATGCCCAGCTGGGGCTCAGAGCACACCAGGAATAAAGCTTCTCATCTCAGTTTTTGGTCTGCAGTTGTTTGCTCTGGATTCAGGGGCTCTCCACTATAAGATAGATGTTGACAAATGGGACTGAGTCAAGAGGAGGCTCCTAAGATGGAGCAGAGGACACGGGAAAGGGTGGCTTCGCCCAGCAAAGCAGGACCTTACTGCCATGCATAACTAAGTAATGGATGCAGATCGTGGCAGACTTCTCAGACAGGGCAAGAGGCAGCAGACATGAGTCACAACGCTGAAAGTTTCAACTGGGTGTCAGGGAATTCAATTTTCACCATCAGGGCTGTTGAAGAGAACCAAAAAGATTGTCCACCCTTGGATCCACTCAAGGCTTGGAGCGCCCTGCTCTACTCAGCCACATGTTTGTAGGGAACACGGATCAGGAACCTTGACAGATGCCATCCCACCTTGTTCCCACCATGGCTCTCTCATTCCCACCTGCTCCTCCTCGTGGCTCTCACTGGAGTCCTCGGCCTTCCTCTGCCGTGCCACTGCCTGGGCCACTGCCGGCCGCCTGCCAGGGTCTGTCACCTCCCCCAGCCGCTCCCCATCTGCAATGCAAACACAGGAACTGCTGAGTGAAACCATGGCTGCCTCCTCAAGCCTCACCACCACCAGATGCTCCTGAGCCTTTCCTGAGGCTGCAGCAGAAGAGGACGTGGATAGCCCTGGCTGCAATTCCCTTCGTTACATTCATACTAAGCAGCTTGCAGCGGCTCATCAGCATTGCTTTTCATTACTCTTCTCACAACAGCCCTTTTACGTCAGATAGGATAAGCTCCTGTGGGACCTCAGCTCCCCATCCAGCTGTCGGGACGGTGCCAAAGAAAAATTAGACCAAGCACTGTAACATCACAGAATATCCCAAGGTGGAAGTGACCCATCATGACCATCAAGTCCAACTCCTGGCTCCACGTATGGCAACCAAGAGTCAAACTATCTAAGAGCACTGCTTTCTTGAGCTCTGGCAGTTCAGGGCCATCCCACTGCCCTAGGCAGCCTCTTCCATGCCCACCACAACCTCAAAAGCAGAATGGGATGTGGCAGCTCCCCAAAGGGGACTCTATGCCAAACCCATAGCCCAGTAGGAACCCAGAGGCAGAGTTGGGTTCCTATGGACAGCAGGAACAGTAAGGCAGGGGTCAATGAGACTCTCCCATGTTCTTCATCATCTCACTTGACAGTTCTGGGGAGCTCCTGCCTTCTCCAGGACAGGCCTGGGGAGCCTCCATACCCAGCAGCCTCCTGATGTACGTGCACTGATGCCATTAGCATTCGAGCGGCCGCACAGCCCGCATCTCCTTGGAGATGGCAGCACAAATCCCATCCTCAGCGCGGCTGCAGAGCGGGAACAGGAAATTAAGCTCTAAAGCCCCCTTATTCTGCTCTCAGCCATTATTCAGCCCTGGCAGCCCCAGCTTTCTGCTGGCAGCTCCCTGCCTCCCTCCCATGTCTTCAGACCCACATCGTTCCTCCCACAGCCCCATCTCAGCCTTGACGGGGATGGGGAGTGTTGCAGGAAGGAATGGGACTGGATCCAGCTTGAGACCCCCATCGGCAAGAAGGAAGCAGAGCAGCAGCTGTTCCTACATCCTCCAGCCCACCCTGGAGACAACCGTGTCAGCCAGAAGAGCCCTCTATGGGGACACCACAGCAAGAGATGTTCTTGCCAATGCTTTCACCTGTACCCCTTCTCTGCCATTACACATCTCCTCAGCAGGGATGGGGTGTGCTCGGAGAAGTGGCTGCAAGCCAGGAGGAGAAAAAAAGCACCAGCAAAGCCACAGAAGAAGGTTTCCGCAGCAATGTTTGTTCTTCTGCAATTCAAATACTGGATAGGAAAGTCAAGGGCAGTCTTAGCCCAAAAAAACAAATGCTAATCAGCCCGGCTGCAACTGAAAATAAACACCCCCTCCTTGAGAAAGGGAGGAAAAGGCCAGCATCACTACCAGCAAGCAGCAAGTTGAGAATGAACCCTTCTCATCTCACCCTTCAGCCCCAGAGCCCTTTCTCCCCTCCCCAAGTCCCGCTGCTTTCCAAAGCCAATGCCGCTGGAAGCCCAGCCCAACAGCAGGGACAAAAGGCGCTGCAGAGCGGTATTGTTTGGCTCCTGGTCCTGCAGCCAGGCAGCAGCAATAATAAAAGGCTCCTGCCTGCGAGACGCTGTCTGGGGAGGAGCATCCCCTCTCCTTTCCCTTCCCCAAAGAGTGCCAAACACCTGGGTGCTGCCAAAAATGCAGCCCAGCACCAAATTTCTGAGCACCCCAACCAGGTGGGGTTCAGGGCAAATAATATGGATATAAAATACTGAGTTTGCACTCAAGCCCCTGAAATCTTGTGCTAGAAGCAGAATGCAGTTCCTAAATGCCTACTGGGTGATGGGGTTTGGTTCCGCAGTCTCCAGGCCTCCAACCAAACTGAGGGATTAGGGGGTTGGTTGCACCCCAGAAGTCATTAGCACTCAGGGTGAAGGATGCTGCAACCACCCCATGAGTGACCCACATCCAGAGCAAGGCAAATGGGAACAGGCAGATGTAGCCTGGTACTCCTGACTGACAGATCTCCCCACAGGGGAGCATCTGCTCTTATCTTCCCAATCCTGCAGCAAAAACACCCTGCAGAAAGGGAGATGCCAAAGCAAGATATGTCTTCCTCAACTCAATCACCATCAGCCCCTTCTCTATCCATCCTCAAAACATCAGTACATTGGGCTGTGCTGATTACCAAAATCATCAAGGTGCCTTCAGGGCTGGATCTTTCCAGGCTGATCCTCTCGGTCAATGGGTTCTCTGGGAAGCAGCAGCTCAACCCATATGGGAAAGATGGGGGACATGAAAAAGAAACCAGCCAAAGATGCCAACACCAAGCCCTGTGGTCTAACCACGCTGGTCCTCCAAAGCACCCCGTTTCCACCGGTCTTGGGTGCTTTGATCCTTTGCTTTTAATTTAAATTTAGCATCCAATCCAGCAGAGCCTCCCATAAGGAGGTGATGAGGGGAACATATGCACCCCCCCACAGCCCCCGCCCCACACCTCCCTTCATGTCGCAGTCATCAGTCAGCAGCCAGCTCCCATCAATCTCCTCGTCCAGCCCAAATCCCTTCCATTCTGCCATTGCCAAGGCAACAGGCACTGAAAAAGGGGCAGCTGAGCTCCTGGCCACAGTATCTTTGATGGCTCAAAGAGGACTGAGTGTCACCACACAGCTGGAGACATGGTGACTTCCCTCAGGGACAAGCCCAGGGGTGAGCATCACCCATTGCGGAGATGGGATTGCTGAAACCCACCAGTCATAAACACAAGCTCTCAGCCCCTCCAGACACCACAATGGGGGAAGCAAAGGAATAAATGAAGTGTAATGCATTCACTCAATTATCCAGCCTTGCTGCCATTCCAGCCCCACGGCTTGGACCTGTGCTGCCACGTTTCCCAGCTCCGTGCCACTTTGTTCCCCAGCTCCATAGCCCTGAGACAGCCCTGGCTGCCCAAGGACAGGGCTCGCTTGTCTGCCTGCCGCCTCCTCCTCCCCTCCCAGCAGCTCTTGGCAGAGTGGGAGTGCTCACAAAGAGCCGATTCAAGGCAATAAGGACGAGGGCTCTCTCAGAGAGAGGCTGAAGGGGAAACCGAGCAGCCCATGGATGGCACCACTGCCCCTCTGCATGGGCCACCAAAGCTTTTCAAAGGGCTCTTGTCTAATCCTCTCCCCTACCTGCACCTCTAAAGAAAGGAATAAAGGCACCCAGTGTTGCAGCACATCAGTCCGTAAGATGTGCTAGGGGTGCCATTTGTAGTCCCAAAGCCATCAAGGGAGGGATGGGCATGGTGCTCCCAGCACCCTGGAGAAAGTCCCAGAGGAAGATATTGAGGTGTTGGCAACTCCCCCTGCACGGCTCCCCAAAGGAGCTGTGGGTTCCCCATCCCTGGAGGTGCTTGAGGTTGGATGGGGCACTGGGCAACCTGGTCAACAGGAGGTGGCCCACCCATGGAGAGGGGTTGGAACTGGATGGGATTGAAGATCCTTTCCAATCCAACCACGATGCAATTTATTATCTCGGTGCCCCACAAGCCAGCACTGCCCCTGCTCACATTACTTTGGAGAGCCCACTGTGTCACTCTGCCTGTCAGCAGCTCCAAGAGATATTCCCCAAGGCACGCACCAGCATCTCACCCTTGCAGGTGCCACCAAAGCTTTCCCCAAACCTACATCCCAGCCCATCCATCAGCACTGGCAACAGCCACATGTGTTCAGTCACTGGTCCAGGTGGCAGGGCCAGCCAGGCACTCTGCTAAGAGCCATTTTGCATCACTGTTATCATTTTTTTCCTCCCGTTCTTCCTCCTTTTTCTTTCTTTTTTTTCCCCTTCCCACCTGGCATGAAAGCATTTCCACCCCATTGACTCAGCACAGTTTCCAGCTGGGAGAACACCATAATGGCCTCATTATTTCAGACGAGGAACCTGCATGTTAAATTAGGCAGAGAAGGGTAATTATCTACTTGTAGAAGATAAGGGAAGGGGGAGCATTTTATCAGGGACAGAATGCCAGCATGCTTCCCAGCCGAGTCACTGACCGCACTCCCCACGTGAGCAGCATCCAGGCCACAAGGACACCATAGGGACACATATACCCAAAAACACCCCAAATACCCTCAAGCGCACACCTTTTGGCCTGGCCCCCCACCTTACTTCCTGTCAGGAACTCACACCCAGTGCTTTCTGGAGGCTGAAGACACATCAGCTCAGTGCTGCTCTATTTAATGAGTAATTAACCTTTCTGAGCATCCTCTGGTGGCTGACGCAAGGCAGGCAGCATCCTTCACAGCAGGGCATGAGGTCTTTGACACCCTTTGGGTTCTCTTGCACAGACAGCCTCCATCCACCTCTCACTGTAGACAACGTCACCCCATCCCTACGGGACTTGGGACCAGGACACGTAGCCACGTCTCCGAGTATCTTTTATACCACTGAATGGAGAGAGCCCAAACTCTGGAGCACAGTCCTCACCCAGCACATCCTCCCTCCAAGCACAATTTCCCTCTCTGCTCCCCAGATACAAAGGCTTCCCAATGATCTTCAGTGAAGAACACAAGCCGAGCTCCTCGGACCAAATCCCATTCCCCATGTCCCTCCTTGGCACCAACCCCATGGCACCCGCTGCATCACGAGGCCCAAAATCTGCAGGCTCACACTGCTGTGCCAACTTCAGGTTCCGCACTCACGAGATGTGGCCGGCTCCCAGATCGCCCTCACTCCCTTCAAAGCCACCCAATTCAACCGCCAACCCCTCTTTCATCCTCACCATCAGGGTGTGGACCAATGAGAAATGGCTTCTAACCCCCAAGCCCAACGCGCAGCCCGCCCCACGCCCCGAGGTGACCCCACCGAGGGATGGAGCGAGCTCCGGGGGTGATCCCGAACTTCAGGGGAGGGGGGCCTACCTCTGCCGTAGGTGAAGGGCAGGCGGAGGGCGCGGCCCTGGCGCACCAGGCTGATGTGCAGGTACGTGAACCACGCGGCCGAGGTGAGCAGCGCCAGCAGCAGCAGCAGCTTCAGCTGCTTGCGGATCTTCTTCACCGGGAGCCGCGGCATCACCGCCCGCCGCCGCCGCCGCCGCGGCCCGCTGCCGGCCTAGCCCCGGCCCATCGGGCCCCCCTCCCCCGGCCGCCCGCCGCTACGGGCCGGCAGCGGGGGGGCGGCGGCGGCAGCTCGCGGCTGCCTGGTGCATCGCCGCCGCCCCGTCGCGCCGGCAGCGGACACGGCCGGGCGGCGAATGAATGGAACGGCAGCGGCGGGAGCGGAGGGAGGGGGCGCGGCGCCGCCCGGGCCGAGCGACGGGGGCGTCGGCCAATAGCCACCCGCCGGGACGGAGCTTCTACCAATAGGAGCGCGGCGGGGGCGGGACCGGAGGGGGCTCCGCGCGTCGCCACGCCAACGGGCCAGCAGCCGCGGGCCGGGCCATAGGGGCGGCGGGGGGAGCGGCTTCGGCGCGGTCCCTGCTGTGTGTGGGAGCGGCGGTGTGAGGCGGTGGGAGGGACGGAGCTGTCTGTGCCCGAGGGGGGCGGCGGGTGGGGTGACACGAGGGGCGCGGACCGGCTTGTAGCCCATCGCCCCCCGGTGCGGGTTTGGTACATCCCTGCGTGCCGCGCCGAGGCGCTGCGGGGCCCGGCCGGGGAGCGGGGAGCGGCCGCGGTGCGAGCTGGGATCCGTTCCTTTTCTCTTCCCATCCTCTTCCTATCTTATCTCCATTCGCTTCCCAGCCCCGTCCCATCCCAACTCTATCACCATCCTCATTTCTACCCCCGTCCTGTACCCATGCCAACTCATCTTATCTCCAGATTTTCCCCTCCCTATCTCATCACCAACCTAGTCTCTATTTCATCCCATCCCAATCCCCATCCCTTCCCCATCACATCTCCATTCCCATCCCACAGCTCAGCCAGGCTGAGACCTCCCACAACTCACTGCACCCCTGCTGCCCAGCCTTTTCAGAGCAAGTGAAATTTTTTCTCGTCCTCGCTGCAATGCGGGACTGGAAACGAAAACAGAGGAAGAATTCAGCAATGAGAAAAAAAAAGAAAAAAAACAAAAGAAAAGAAAAAAAAAAAAGAAAGAAAAAAAAAAAAAGACATCTGCAGCTGGGGAAACTAGATGGCACCCGTGCTCCAGGCTTCACGTCCCCGCCGTCCCCGCCGTGCTCACAGGCGGGTGCAGAAGGTTAATTGGCTCATAATTAGGTGCAATTTAGATAACTATGCAGTGCAGCTCGTATAGCTGTCCCACCGGCTGTGGAATCTAACTGGACATTAGGGAAATTCATGTTGTTGTGCCCAGGGAGCAGCACCCTACGGCCTCCCCCCAGCACTTCCCCAGAGCTGGATGTAGGGCTGAGCTTTGGCCTCCAGTGCCTTTTGGGACAGCCTCAGGAGAGAGCATGAGGAATGTGGGGGGGAAAGGAGTCCCAATACCATGGTGCGACGGCCATGATGTGGGTTTTCTCCATCAAGTGCCTAGAGAAAACCATAGGGGTTGGGCTCCCAGTCCATGGGCTCCCATGGGCTGCCGTGTGGTGGGGACATGATGTACAGTTTCCACCAAACATTGTGCCCAACCTCAGGGCTCCCAGTACTACATGATGGAGTCAAAAGGACAAAATGTAGAGTTTTTCCACCAAGCACCCAGGCTTGATCACAGGGATGGGAGCCCTATTGCCTCTTGACAGGAACACAGTTTAGGATTTCTCCATCAACCGCCTGGAGTCAACTTCAGGGGCAGGGGTCCCAGTGCCCTATGGCGGAGATGTGATATAGGGTTTCTTCACCAAACATCCAGGCTCACCACTAGTCACGGGAACCCCATTGACACACGCTGGGGACACGGTTAAGGCTTTACCTCTCTGACGCCCCTACCTCACTACTTCTCTACCAGCCCCGCACCCCACAGCCCGACCTGCGGAGGCCGGGTGGGGGACACCTTCGGGGCCGGCGCCTGGCGTTCGCAGGGGGCGGGCGGCCCTTTTTTCCCTCCCCCTCGCTCAGCCCTCCTCATCACCGGGCTGCAAGGAAACGAAACTAGCTCTCTCCATCCTCCCCTCCGGGCGCCTCCCCCGAGCCTCATAGCCCCCGAGCCCCAGCATGGAGCGGGTCCGCACTCCGGGTCCGGCGATTCCACCGTACGAGCCCCTGATGGACGGGCTGGACGTGGAGGGGAAGACCCGCAGCACAGTGGTGACGGTGGAGAACCCCCTGGTGCCTCCTCCCCGCGACCACTTGGCCTGGTCGCTGTGCACCACGCTGTATGCCAACGTCTGCTGCCTCGGCTTCCTGGCGCTCGTCTTCTCCGTGAAGGTTGGGGAATGGGAAAGGGGGGGGACAGGGGATGGGGAAGTGGTGGTATCTGGAGAGGAATGGGGGGGGGGGAAGGGCGGGGGACGGTCATGGAGGATCGCTGTGGGGCTCACAGAGCTCCCCGATCCCAAACAGAACCGTGGAGCTCCAAAAGTCCCAGCCATGGGTGCCCCGTGGACCCTACAGAGCCCCGGGCCTCAAAAAGATCCATGGAGCCCCCAGATCTCTGCTGCCTGGTTGCCCCATGGACCCCAGAAAGACCCAGGGACCCTTGAACAGACTCATGGTGCCCTCAAAACCTCCAGTCTCAGGGTACCACGTGGACCCCACAGATCTCCAAAAGCCCCTACTGGGAGGTGCCCTATAAACTCCATCGAGCCCCTGACCCTGGTGAAACCCATACATCTCCCAAGAAACCCTGACTCTGGGGTGTCACATGGAACCCACAGGCCCATCATCACCAGAGGGAGCCCCATGCCAGGGAACCTCTCCTACCCAGCCCCATTGACTCTCCTGTTGGTCTCCCCAGTCCAGAGATCGCAAAGTCCTGGGTGACTACAGCGGGGCGCTGAGTTATGGCTCCACTGCCAAGTACCTGAACATCACGGCCCATCTGATCAACATCTTCCTCATCATCCTCATCATCGCCCTGGTTGCCAGCGGCACAATTGTGGTGGCCAACATCTTCAACCACCACCAGCAACACCCTGAATTCATTGGACCCACTTAGTCACTTAGTCCATGTGCAGAGCTTCGCTTGGGGCCATGCTTTCCTTGCTTCTTCCAACCCCCTCTCCAGTCACCGTATGAAAAAGCACCTCAAGACTCGCCTTGCTCTGGCAGGAACCGACAAAAACTGGCTGTAGGAATGGGAACTCCCAGACTTTGCTGCTTGCCACCTCACTCTGCCTTTTTGCTATTGCTCCGAGTGCCTGTAAAAGCCCTTAGGGAAGCACCTCATCAGTTTGGAAAGAAAAAAAAAAAAAAAAAAGGCACAATAAAGGTATCTTTCACTTTTGTCTCATGGCTCTTCTTTTTTAGAGGATGGGGGTGGGAGTAGGAGAGCCTCCATAGCGATGCTATTGAACAATTGTCCCCTTTGTCACTCTCTGGAGCATGACAGGGATTACAGAATGATTAAGGTTGGAAAAGACTTCAAAGATCATCTCATTCAACCATCAACCCATCACCACCATGCTCACTAACCATGTCCCTAAGCTCCAAGATGTGACAGGACCCAGGTGGGTGAATCCAGTTCACAGGTTTGGACAAAGTGGACCACGGCAATGACAAGGGAACAGGGGTGAAGTATCCCCTACCCTATCTCTGGTAGTATGCATGAGTGGGCTTCATTTGGAGATGAGGAAACTGTGGGTGGGATGACCCCGTCCCAAACTCCAGTGATGCTGTGCTTCCCTGAAATGCTTTGAAGGGAAAGTGAGATGACGATACCTCTTCCCTCCTCCCTGGAGCTTTTCAATATCACAACGCCACTCCCATCCCAGCTTTGGTGTAAGGCAGAAATCATGCCTACAGCTCCAGCCACGTCCAAAATGACCCTGGAAAGGCCCCAAGCACCCGACCAATACTCCCGGACAGAGATGACCTGGCGAGGGTTCAGCTATGTGCTTGGCCTGGCTTCCTGCTCCCCAGCTCTGTAAGGGCTGGGGCCCCACAGAGCTGGATGGAGAAAGCCTTTTTCTTTATTTCCCCTCGAAGAACAATGACTCCTGCCAAGAAGCTGCTCTCATGAGCAGGACGTCCTCCTTGCAAAACACAACAGCCATTTGTTGCAGGATCCCTGGCAGCCTCGGCTGGGTGAATCATTGATTCCTACTTCTCTTCCCGTAAAAGCAAACAAACATGTGCTGGATCGTGCCCTCCCTGAGCACTCCTCTCCTCTCACTCCATCCCCACTGGCCCCACCAGGATTTAGCTGAAATCCCCCCCAAAATCATTTTTTAAAACGCACCTCCCTGATCAGTTGTCACATGCAAAACCCAGTACATTCCACAGCCAAAAATGTGACATCCTGTCATCCCAACATCCCCTGGGGAGCACATCCCCAGCCCCAATGGGCACCATAGGGATTTTCCATGCATGGACTCTCCCTGGGGCTGGGCACCAGTAGGCAGATGGGGGCATTAGGGGGATGCACGGGCAGAGCAGGGGTGCTCGCAGGACACGGGGGCAAATCGTTCCTCCTCCTGCAGGAATTGCTCCAGACTGCTGGCAGGTGGCCAAAGAGCCTTGAACTCCCTGCCCTAACGGCAGAGGCAAGAAGGGAGCAGGCAGCAGGCTCAGCTCCCTGCATAACCCACCCCAAAAGACCTCCAGCAGACCCCAACCTCACTTTGCAGACTCTTTCCCCCCTTGCAAGGAAAGCCACCCCTGCATCTTTGTTTCTCACCCAAACCCTCTGCTGCTCAGCCCCTTAACTCTGCCCACACCCCCAGGACTTTGTCGCCTCAATGTATTCCCATCCCATCATTTGTTTGAATGCAAAAGCAAATAGAGGAAAATGCACAGAGGGGTGGTGATGCCAGCAGGATATTCACACCAAGCTCATTAAGATAAGACTGCAATCAACCCCACTTACAGCGAGAAGGACACCTGCAGCTTTTTGGGGGCACAGCTGTGGGTTGCTGCTGGAGTTTGAGCACAAAGCCAGATCCGCAATCCCCTCCTCTATTCGCACCCTTTCCCCTCCCTTCCAGCCTCTCCACTTAATTACCACTGTGACCTAATGAACCTCATTAACTTGAGAGCATGCCAGAAAAAGAGCTGATAGCTTTGGTATGAGCAGTACTGGGGAGCACTTGGGTTTGCACGCAGGTGGTCTTCACAGTGGACAGCTGCTGCTCCAGGCACGAGCCCTTGTCTGAGTGGGCCTCAAAACCCACAGCTGCCTTCATCCCATGTGCCCCAGGGGTCAAGTGCACCCCACACCCCCCCAGACACCTGCCCCAATGGACTTTGTCCTGCGCCATCATGCCATCCTTTACACCGCAGCTTTCAGATCACCGTGCCCACGCTGGCACCGTGGGCATAAACCAGTTCCCAACATCTCCAAAGGGAGTTTGTCCCTGGTAGGATGAGGACTGCCCACGCCCCGGTGCCGGGCGGGGTGTCCCCACCCCAGCAAACCCTTCTGCTCACCTATAATAGGTGAGGCTGTAAGGGCACAGGCACTGCAGCTGCCTTCCGGCACCATGCAGAGCTACCCGCAGCACACCAGCATTGACATGCCGCCCTACGGGCAGAATGTCATCACCACTGTTCCCATCTCACCACAGCCACCCCCCAAGGATTTTGTACTCTGGTCCCTCTTTAACTTTGTGCTGTGCAATGCCTTCTGCCTGGGCTTCTGTGCACTCTCATACTCCATCAAGGTAAGGCAAAAATCAACCCAGCACCTCCCTGCTTAGCTTTGAGGTCTGCCCTCCATGCTACGGCTCCCAAATCCCATCCCTTTTTGTTGCATCATGTCTCAACTTTCCCCACCCCAATCCCATCCCAATGTGTCCCATTACGTCCCATCTTTCCTTGTCCAATCCCTTTACCATCTTATATTGTCCCAGCTTCCCCTGTTTTGTCCCATCATGTCTCACCTTCCCTCACCCATTTCCAATCCCATCCCGCTTGCCCTACCCTACCTTTCGTCATCCCATCCCAGTCCCATCCCGTCTTGTCCCACCATGTCTCACTTTCCTCTATCCCTTCCAACCCCATCTGTCCTATCCCACCTTTCTTCATCTCAATCCCATCTGGTCTCATCCCATAGTATCCCACCTTCCCCCATCCCTTCTCTCATCCTGTCCCACATTGCCCCAGACCTCATCGCTACCTCGCTTTCTCCTACCACATCCATCCCTATCACAGTGCCTCATATCTAACTTACCTGACACCCACCTTTGGAGGACAATCTGCCACCTTTGGGTGCTTTGCCATCTCCAAGGCCCACAGAAGAGGGGCTCCCAGTAGGCACAATGGTTTTGGCTCCTCTAAATTATCCTTATGTCAGTCCCAAACTAGCTGACACCTCCATGAAACTGCAAATTCAGCTCCTGCTCCCACTCCCTCCCTCCGTCCTTCTACCCACCCTACTTCCAGTAAGGAGCAGCTGCTCCCCGTGTACCTTCCCTTTATTACCTTTAAAGCTAATCATCCTTAACAAGCACTCTGGGAGGAAAGGTCAGCAGCTGCCAGTGCCCCAAGAAGCGCCACATAGGCATGTTAGGATATCCCTGGCCTTCCTCACAGCTTTCTACCTGCAACAGGAGGAGCTAGCAGCACAAGACTGCTGACTTTTAATTAGCCATTAAGGAATTGCTGTTAGGCTGCTGTGAGCTATGTTTCCCATCAGGGTTGGCTTCCTGAGGGTCTGACACCCTATGTATGCCAATGAGGGTGGTCGGGTGATGATGATGGACAGAACCTTTGATGTTTTGGGTTTCATCACCTCCCTCTTCTCCCTCTGCAGTCCAGAGATAGGATAATTGCCAAGGACTTTGTTGGTGCCACCAGCTATGGAAGGACAGCCAAGATCCTTAACATCATTGCGCTCTGTGTGGGACTCTTCGTGACCATCCTCTCCATCGTCCTGGTGTTTCTCTACTTTCCACTCTACGTTGTGCAGCCCTGATCTGGCCTGATGAAGAGGAGCAGTGCTGGGGTCCCACTCCTCCTCCCCTCTATCCCTGCTCACCCGGTGGTGCCACCCCCACTGAGGTGACTGTTTGAGATGACCCTTGGGGTGAGCTCAAGACAAATAAAGCTTCTTCCTCGTTCTACTTCTGTCTGAAAATGTTTTGGTTTTAGGGTTCAGGAGGTTGGGGCTGCCCCAAAGCTGACACAGGGTGCTTGGGCAAGAAGTGATGTGTCTGTGCTGTTCAGTAATTTGCCTTCCTGCGGCTCCTAGGGGCGCTCAGAGCCACCACACCCAGATTCGTTTCTGTGTCATCCCGTGCAGATAGCCACAGTGTCTCTACAAGGGGCAACAGTAGGGTCCCACTCTTCCTTTTCTCCTCTGCTCCTCCCTTTGGCAGTTTTCCAGTTCCTCAGAAGCCGTTTTCCTTCCCCCCCCCCCCCCTCCCCCTTTTGCTCCCTGCGCCCACGCGGTCAGTGCCCCCACACCCGGGGACTGAGAGGAGGGGGACGAGGCGCCGAGCCCATCGAGGGCTGACTGCTCTGCCTGAGTTCTGGGAAGCCGGGGGCCGGCGCAGGGGCGGTGCGGGGCTAGGTTTCATTTTCCGCAGAGCTTCCCGTCTCCCTCCCATCCTCGCTCCGCTCCCGGCCATGAAGCCGCAACAGGCGGAGGTGAGCATCCCGCTGCACCCACCCGGGCGGGGACCGCCCCTCTCCAGCGTCCCCCAAGAGCAGCCCCGCGACTTCGTCCTCTGGTCTCTCTTCAACGTCCTGGCAGGCTTCGCTCTCGCCTACCTCGGCTGCTTCTGCTTCCCCTCGCTCATCTTCTCCATCAAGGTGAGATCCCCCAATCCTCCACCCCTGACCCCGGTACCTCCTTGCCAACCCATCCTGGGATCCCTCGACTCGGGGTCCCCCAAGCTGATCTCCCCTCAAACCACACCCTCCACTTCCATTTGATGCCTTATGATTTGGTGGCCCCCAACATTACTACATCCACCCCAACTCTCTTATTTGGGATTTTCTCCTGTCTACTGGGGTCTACCCTCTGTCCACAATGCTCCCCAGTGCATCCCAACAGAACATGATTCCCAATTTCGGGCATTCCAACCTGGTGCTGCCCAACTTGACCCATCCAACCCAACATGCAGACTTGGGTCCTCCAACCCATAACTCACTAAATCTATGATGCTTCCCTACCTATCTGAGCACAACATGATCCTCCAACCCCAAGAACCCCAATCCAGTGCTTCCCAACCTTACCCCCCCAACCCGTGATCCACTCAATCCACAGTGCTCCCAACCCATCCCAACATAATGTTATCCTCTGACTGCAATCTAATCTAATGCTGCCCAAATTGAAAACACCATCCCCTGTCCCACCCAATTCACAGTAGCCCCAACTCTAACCTAATGCATCCCTGACCCAGAACTGCCATTCAACATAACATGACTACTCCCTGATTTGGGACTATCCAATTTGGTGACCCCAATTGCCTTCCCTGACACCCTCTCAGTTCGCACCCCTCTGAGCCTTCCAACCCCAAAATGTGGAACTGTGTGGGAGCACATGGGCATCTTCAACCCCTGCTTCCCACAAGGTCCCACTAAAGCACCCACGGTGTCCCAGCTCTACCTGACAGCCCCATGAAGCCAGGTTGGGTCCCCCATCTTCCCTATTCCCATCCTGAAGTTGGGTCTTCCCCACTGAATCCCTGTTTGTCTTCCTAGGCTCGTGACTGCAAAGTGCTGGGGGACCTGGAAGGCGCCCGGCGGTACGGAACCCGTGCCAAGGTTCTGAACATCATTTTCTCTGTGCTGATAGCCATCGGTGTGTTGTCCACTATTACCATTGCCATCGTGCTCCTCACCATGAGCAGCAGACAGATATAGCAATTCTGCCACCAACCCACTGTCCTGTGCTGTGCTCACCCCCATAACCCCACCAAAAATGTGTCCCAAGGAATTTCTGCTTTGGGAAAGGGTTGCAGAGCCCTGTCCCCTCGCTGCATGTGGCATGGCAGGGATGGGTGGGAAGCTCCTTTCTCTACTTCTCCTAGGCCATGCTGGTATTTAACCAAGCTACAGCGTATGCATGGATTGCCATCGCCACAAATAAAGCTCCTGCTCACCAAGCCCTGCTCCTGTTGCATTATTCACAGCATGGATGGAGGAGAGTGACCTGGAGTACCTTCATGGCATCCTCCTCCTCCTCCACCCCCACTGCCTTGCCAGGCATCTCCAGCACGAGCCACATTTTGTCCTATAGATTCCAGCACAGCAGAAGAAGGAAACAGCAAATTTCCATGCTTTTCTGGCCCCATCTTCCTGCAAAGTCCCATCTCCTTCCAGGGAACCATGAAGTGCTTTACTAGAAGTAACTCTTACGCATTTTAGCATTAAATTCCTGTTTATTCCATTCTTGTAAGGCTGGGGGAAAGAAAAACGTGGAGTTTTTAAGGGCACTTGGTTCCGTTACCTCAGGCTGTGTAGCAACAGGGATATTCCCTTATTGAAGCAATTGCTCTGAGCAGCATTGAAAGGCACGTGATGACACAAACGCATCCTCAATGACTGCAGCTTTGGCACAGGGGAAGCTCCAGCCAAGTTCAGTTCACACTTTTCTGGCATCCTGACCACACTTCTGTATGAGGGATTTCCTAACAACACAACCTGAAGGGCTTGGTGGAGGCACCAGCACCGTGAGCTGTTCCATACTGTCTTGTGTCATGTCCTTGGGAGTGACAGCCACTCGGTTCCCACCCTGTCCCACAGCAGGGCTGGAGCCACCCGTGCCCCTGGTGCAGAAGGAAGGCAGGCTCACGAAACCAACTTTGTTTCTCCTAGCTTCCAGCCAAGCATTTCTGACAACCACAGCTTGGCAAGGGCTGTAATTTCTCTGATTTATATATAGAGGAGCTGAGGCTGGGCTGGAGACAAGGACGATATAAAAGGGTCTGCTCAGCCCCACTCCTGCAGCCAGGCTGGTGGAGCCGGAGAGCTGCGGGGTGCCCCTCTCTGTGGCCATGGACACATCCTACCCACGGGAGGACTACCTGCCCATGACATCCCACAAGCGGGACTCATCTCCCACCACTGTCACCTCTGCACCACCCCGTGACCACCTCATCTGGTCCATCTTCAACACCATCTACATGAACTTCTGCTGCCTCGGCTTCGTGGCTCTTGCCTTCTCTGTCAAGGTAAGGCATGGCTGGGCCCCAAGTTGGGATGTTCAGGGTTATAGAATCACTAAGGTTAGAAAAGACCTCTAAGATTCCCAAGCTCAACCCCACCGTGCTCACTGACTGCGCCTCTCAGTGCCACATCTCCATGTTCCTTAAACATCCCCGGGACGGTGACACCCCCACCTCCCCGGGCAGCCTGTGCCACTGCCTCACTGCTCTTTTGGAAAAGCTTTTCCTAACATCCAACCTGAAATGATGCTGGAGGTGTCTCCACTCAGACCTGTCCTCCAGAAGCAACACCTCCAGCTGGACAGAGGGACCAGAGACAGGCTGGAGGAAACTAGGAGGATGCCTAGGAGTACCCATGGGGATCCACTGCTGCCCCCAATATCGGCTCTTGCAGGCACGGGACCGGAAGGTGGCAGGAGATGTGGAAGCTGCTCGGCGCTTCAGCTCCAAAGCCCGCTGCTACAATGCGCTGGCCACAGCTGGCAGCGTGCTGCTGCCGATCCTGCTCACTGCTTTGGTGGTCACCGGTGTCCTCCACCTCTCCAAGCTCGCCCAGGACTCCGTGGGCTTCTTCAGCAACCAGTTCAGCACCAGCGATGATGAGGATAAGTGAGCAGTGGGCAAGGGGATGGCAAAAGCCTCTCCGCAGCACTGCTGATCCAGCCCTGCCGTGCACAACCCCATGCTTCTTGGGGCAGCTATGTTATTTGGTGTGGTTATTTGGTGTTGGTGGTAGTGTTGTTTTTTTTTTAATCTCTCCCTTGGTGCTTAATATTTAAATCATTAAATCATTTCACCCATCTCGAATCTGCTCTGTGTGCGTGTGTGTGTATGCGTGCATGCACAGGGAAGGGACTGTGCTAACAGATGATATAGCTCTTAAAATCAGAGAACCATTAAAGTTTGTAAGACCAGCAAGATCATCTAGTCCAACCAAATGTGTTTTGTACGCTCAGAGTGTCCCAGTTCATAGCTGGAAGCCTTAATCCACATTGCTTTAGGGTGTGCCAGCCTGAAACAGTAGGGATGGGAGACACTTCTTGGATCAGGAAGGCAACAATTGGGCCAAGCAGACCCCTCCCAGGTGGACCAACTCATTGCAGCACAGCACAAGCCCTGATTAGGTCCCCAAGTCAGGAACAGAGGGGATCTGCCTGTGGTGACTGTGAGCTAGCAGGAATGCTGCATCCTGCAGTACATCCCGTTTAACTACAGAAGGAATTTCCCCATGGCTCCAAGGTCAGAAAAAATCCTCACCCGTACGGCATGGCTGTGGCTTGAATCTCCCCAGTGCTTTGCAGTACTGCTCCAATGGCAAAAACAGCCGTCCACATGGAATGGACATCATAGGGGACCATGAGCAGCATTTTATCCCCCTCTCCTTCAATAAGCATCCCATAGGTCCCTTACCAAAGGGCGAGAGAACAGAGGATAGCGTTCATCCCACCCTGCAGCCACTGATGAGGGCCTGATGAAGAGCCAGCTCTAATTACAAGGCAGAGGACCCGCCATGTCGCCTCCCCTAAGTGATTCCACATGCTGAGCAGTCACAGGGCTTTTTATAAACTCCTGGAGTTGGCTTACAGAGCAGAGCAGGGAGCATCCTTCCTTCCCCTTGCTCGAACGGCTAGGGAATGCATCCCTGAACCCACAGGGCCAGAATAACACCCAGCTTCAGCCTTGTTGTTGTCCACGCTGCCTCCAAAACCCTGTAAAACTCGAGAGCAGGAGGAGTGGAGCAGGGCATCCAGAGCTGAAAACAGCTCTGTGCATCTGGAGACTGCTGTAGAGATGGAGAACTTTCAAGAATAAACAAACGGGGGATGTTTAGGAAATGCATCTAAATTACTCACTTTCAGGCACTCAGCTTTGTTTGTGCTCCTCCCACTTTCCAGTGCTGTGAGTCCTGCAGCAGAACCAATGCTCACACTCACAATTAACAGAGCGGGGCATTCTCTTGGCAGCCTCAGCACACTCATATCAATACGGGGATGGTGCAGGATGTCCACACATCAGTACGGGTGGGTTTGATGCCCATCATGTAAAGCCCGGACCCATGAGGTTCAAAGTCCTTTGCTGGGCGCCCTCCGGATGCATCCAGCAGCTGTGGGGAAGGAGATGCTCTGCCCTGGAATCAAAACAACACATGTGAGACACAGGAATGGCTTTTCTCTGTATTATCTTAATTTTTAGGAAACATGGTCAAGCAAAGACTTCCTACATAGCTATGGAGCAGGAAGTGCTGTTTGATAACTTCAAGGTCAGTGCACAGAGTTAACCCTGGTAGAGGTCGCACCTTCATGCAGAGGAAAGCACTGCCCAGACTCCTCCAGCACCACCTCCAGGGGAGGGTGAAGGGGACACTTAGTTGCTGCAATCCTCATCTCCTCCTTGGTGATGGTGAACTTCAGCTTGCTGCCCAAGTAGGAGACACCAGTGACTTTCAACTTGTTGACATCATTGGGAAATGCAGGGTCAAAGCGAAGGTTGGTCTTTGTGATCCTGGAAAGGCAGGGCAAGTCAGTTCTGCTTTGCTAATAGCTTTGTGGAGCAAGCACACCCTGAATTATCCTGAGGCCCTCTCCCATGACTCCTTTTCATTTTTTTTTTTCGCAGAAAAAGTCCTAGGTGTATCCTAAAGATGTTCAGGCAAATCCCAAACACTACTAATCCCAAACCTACTAATCACAGAACCATGGAGTGATTGGGTTGGAAGGGTTAAAGATCATAAAAACATGGACATCTCAAAGACCACCTAGTTCCACCCCCCCTGCTGCATGCAGGAATGCCAATGATTAAATATGGCACCAGATTAGGATTCCCAAAGCCACAGGGATGGGGCGTCCACATCTTCAAGCATCTGTTGAAAGGCTACTTGGGTTGTCACCCCTCATCTCAGTGCCCTAAGGTGTTTCTTTTCCTCAATTTGTGGTCTGGAGGTTGGATTTAGAAAAAAAAACTACACACACACACAAAATCCACCATGTTTTTTCGCCTTATGGTGATACCTTAGAGCAGCTCTGCTGGCAGAGTGTCAGGAATGCCCTGCTCTGGGATGGGGAGGGGAAGGAGTACAGGAACAAGCAGTGAGAGGCAGAGCTGGCTGCGATCACCATTGAAATGCAGCCACACAAAGCGCAAGTATGGGCTCTCGGCCACATACTAAAACCGAGCAACAGAACACCCAGATAGCTCAGGAAAGCACCACAATGTTTGCAGTTGGGGTTTTTGGGATGCACATTCAGCTTCAGCAAGACCCAACCAAATCAAGAACAAACAAACCAGCAAAGCTATTAGCAAATATCTGCTCTCAGCTCCATGGTGGTTGGGCTGAAGAGCTTTAAGTAGCAAAGAGGAACCCTTTCTCCTAGACCCTACCCTGAGGGCTGTGCACCGGGATGCAACAGCACATTCTGAAGACACTGAGCTGTGCGCAGCTGAGATTGAAGCTTTCAGCTAGTGGCACAGCGTAAAAACACACTGTTAGGGCAAGGAGGCTTTGCTGGCAACCAGAAGGTTCTTCAGTCTTATCCATCCTCAATTAAATTCTAAGAATACACTCCAGTGGCTACAGCTTCAGGACTGAAACCACCCGGCTGCTCCAGAGCTGAGGCATGAGCCTGAAATTATCTGAGCAGCACACCAGCTTCCTTCTCACACAGCTCCTGGGGCTCAGCAGGACATATCCTCTTTCGTACAGATCTTATTTTTGGCCTTTTGGCGTGAGAACAGCAAATAATCTTCCCTGGTTTCTTGCTGCTTCAGCAGCATCACAAACTGTCCCCTCAGTGACATCCACAACCACTGGGAGTTATCATGCAAAACGAACACCAGTGGCCAACCCCAATACCCCTAGTTCACCCATTAACAGCGCAATTCATTCAGAGCAGAGAGCAGATGCTCTGCACTAGTTACTGCAGGTGCCTTTTTTTTTTCACAAGCAACAGGAATACTGAGTTTTCCAGCCACTTGATAGTTGCGTAGAAATTAAACAAGACACAACAGGAGTCTCACCTGAACCCTGTGTAACCAAAGAGGACAGCCTGTAAGAATCCGCCCATCCCTGTCAAGAAGTTCACAGCTCCTGACCCATCTGAGTTCTCCACCCAGATCTGTTCCAGGGAGAAGAGGAAACAAAAAGAAAAATGTCAGCTGTTGCGTTGGGACTCTTCACACAGTTAAAGGTGTTTGTATATGCTTGCTGTTGCTGTCATATATCTGGGGCATTGCAATGATCATATCCTGCTGCTCATCATGGAACAAGGTGGTGGCTGGGCTCTGATGGGTCTCCAAGTCCCACAGCTCCATCCCTTCCCCATCTTCCCCAGGCAGAGGGCATCCTAGGGTGACCATGATAACAGACTTCAGCTTTATGCTGCTTGACTGGAAGAAGATGGGTCCTGGTTTCTTTTTGGAAGTGTGCAGAAGAGATGGAGTGAGCGATCACCTAGCTCAGTACAATAATCTAATAACCGAGGGACCACAAGTGCTGTCAGTGAGACAGGGCCTGCTGGGAAGCAGACAAGACAGAACCAAGTGGCACTGGCCACATGGCAGCAGCTGACCTTGAAGGGCTCAGTGATGTTGCTGAAACACTTGTTCAGTTGGCACTGCGCTCTCTGCGTTTCCTTCAGCTCCAGCCAGCCCACTGCAAACATGCTCTGAAGGAGAGAGCAGAGTGGGTCAGTGCCCACCGGTATTGAGTGACTCAGATAGAAAGGACCACACTGTGGGTGAGTTCCTCTTACCCAGGTCATGGCTGGCCCGCTCAGCGTGGTGACGGGCTCATACATCACCAGGTCATTCCTCCTCACTTCGGGGTGCATCGGGTGCATCAGGGGGAAGCCCAGCAGGATAACATCAGCTTGTTTCACAGGCTCACCTGAGAGAAGGGATCAGAACTGAGCCCAACCACATGCCTGCCACAAATAATTAACTCACAGAGGGAACGGATCTGACACAGAATCATAAACTTAGGCCAATAAAATCCACACCACAGTGGAAAAGTGGTGGAACTCTCTTCTGAAGAGCTGGGAGACAGCTCAACACTGCCTTACTAAGGCAAATGACACAGAGGAAAGGGGCAATAAGCTGGGCGTGCTCTTCCTCTTGTATCAGACTTCCAGTAACCAGAGGTTATAGGACATTCATTACGCAGCACTTGACTTTGGAAAGATAAGCCTAACTGTCAGCAATGGGTTCATAGCCACCACAATGCCTGCAGCCCAGTGTCTCAAACTCTTAAGGCCTATCCTCTTTGTACCCCAAATTCTTAATTAGATGAGTCCTATAATAAGAAAGGATCCACCAAAATGCAGAAAGGAACACTGCAAATCAGGTCCTCTGTACTGGCAATACAAATGCTGAGAGAACCAGTGCTCTTTTGTTTCAGCCCACATTTCCTGTCTTGCAGGCTTAAAAAGAAAGAGGCAGGCTTCTGAACTGCATGCCCCTCTACCCACCTGGACTGTAACCGTCATACTCAGGGTGATATTTCCGCACTGCATCAAAGGGCACTTTGACTTTCTTTGCACATTCCACCCACTCCTCTGGCACAGGGATCAAGAAGTCCTGAGCAATGCTGGCTGCAAAATTTAAGCTGAAAAGAAGTGAGGAACAGTGCTTCATGTCATGCTTGGGTTGCTGGGGCCCCTTGGAGAGAGAGGAAGAGGAAAAAGGGAAGAAAAGAGTGAGCATTGCAAAAAAGCAGTTTCCTAGAAAGAACATGGGATCAAAGTCTAATCTTTGGGTAACAACTTTCATTGCTGGGACTTGTAATCTCCAAATGACTAATTATTTCGACGTCACACGCTGCAAGGAGACAAGCACTGCTGAGAAGGGGAGTTCCTCTCTGTCTAATGTAGACACCTGAGACATCAGATGTGTCGTTAGGTGTCATCATGGAAACCCATGGGAAACCTATTTCTTTCTGCTGATGCAGATGAAGGCAGAAGAGACCAACTTGGACAGAAGTATGGAGCCAGAAGAAAGGTGCTTGCTGCCTCCTCCTCCTGCTAGACAGATGAGAAGAAAGATGGGCCAGAGCCTCAATAAGGCATGCGCATTACCTCCTCTGTGCCACGGCATTGGTGTAAGCAGAGTTATCAACCTGGTGGTGATACTCGTCTGGGGGCATGACACCTGGAGGAAGGTAAGACAAAGGGGACACTTCACTCTGCAGCAGGACACTTCACTCTGCAGCACACCCAAGGTGTGTCTCAAGGAAGTGGCACAAGAACAGGAACACCTCCATTGTATTGATGACTGCCCATGTTGACTTGTGTGGTGGGAAAAGGTGTTGGTATTTTTGATATATGAGGTCTGACTCAGAAGTGTATCCTGATGAAAGTACAGTCCTTTCAACCAAAACTAGCTCCTACTTCTGAGCTAAGACAGTGTTGGGTGTTCTGCTCCCACAGGCCCCACCATGGATTCAGTTCTTAACAAAACCCCTGAGGTGGCCATTCCTCCCATGAATTTGGCTTCATTAACATAGAAACGCCCAAAAGCTGTGGGTGCCCCATCCCTGGAAGAGCCCAAGAACCCTGGGCAGCTTGGCCTGCTGGGGGGCAACCAGTCTATGGATGGGGGCTGGAGCTCAGTGATCTTTAAGGTTCCTTCCAACCTATGATTCCCTGATTGTCTGGGGTCCATTCTTTCCCAAAATGCACTCCTGGCTTTGGTAATTTTAGAACACTCATCCTCACCTCTTTCCCTTCTTTGCCACAGTGTGGGTGTGGGTTCTCTACAACCACTGGGCAGAGGGAGACATGCTGCCCAAGCGTTCTCACTGATCATCACTAACAAATCTCAACAAATTCAATGATCCTTGTGGTCCTTCATAAGCCAGGATATTGTATGATTTAGCTGAGAAAGGGCAGATCATCAGGCAGAAGATACCTTATCCTGAGGGCACCTTCCTCACTTCAGGCAATGCGACCTTTAAGTTATTAACTGTGTGTTTTTCCCTAGGTCCAAGCTCAAGTCCTTCCCTTCAGAAGTACCTCGGATGTGGTAGCATTGCTCCTCCTCACTCCACACCATCCTGCTGCACCAGTATTGAGCCACGGCATTCACCAGCGCCCAGCCTCCATCAGTCCTGAACAGCTTCTGGTCCTGGAAGGAGCCAAAGCCAGAGAAAGACAGGGAGCATGAGGGAGATTCAACAGGGTCTAAACTGTGACAAACACTCCCTTTACCTGTGTGGTATAGTAATACTGCTCAAAGGCCATCAGAACATCCCCGGTTATGTGAATTTCTTGGGCTCCATAAATGTCCTCAGGACAGACCTCCTGACCAGTAGCTGCGCTCTCCCATGGGAACTTGGCACCCTGTTGGGAGAAGACATCCATGGAGCAACTGAGCACACCTTGAAACGATCATCCTGGTCTACCACATGCAGGCAAAACCTAGCTCACAGCCCCTGGCTCAAGGAAAGCCTGACTATCCTTCTGGGTGACATTCAGCTCCACATCTCCATCCCCACCTCATAGCCTTGTTCCTGTGCATTGAGTAGAGCTCCTTCCAGCGTGCGAATCCGGTACTCCAAGATGGCTCGGGCAGCTTTGGGATAAAACAGCAGGATGTTTGGGAACATCCAGGTGTCCTGGAAACATGCAGGCAAAGCAAAGTGGTAAGATGGGTTGGTAGGGCAGCCAAATGCTCCTGTCTGTTCAAGTCCACCCCCGGTGCTGAATGCTGTGACCATGACTATGCCACTACTTAAGGATGCTGTCAGATGTGTCCAATGCATGAGGGACTGTTTCTACCATCACAGATGCATCCAGGTGCCCATGCCTTCAATTCCCTGCCAGTCACCTCCCTGGTATCTCACTAGGATAAGCCCAGAAAGATCTCCTGCCATGCTAGAGAGGGGAGGCCGGAGAATCTGACGGGTCAAAACCACATGTTGCCAGGAAGAATGCCAACAAGGTCCACAGGACTGAAAAGCCCTTGCCCACTGAAAGACCAGGCTAGGTAGGAGTCTCAGCACCATCCAGCTGTCCTTCCTGTTCACATCACACATGAAATATTCAACTGCAGAGCTGTTTGTACTCATTTTGTGTGGCTGCTCTGAAAGCAAACCCAAGCCTCTTGTTGGGGAAAAGCCTCCCAGACCAACTTGTTTATTGAGCACACACCAAACTTAACTTGAAAAGCAGAATATGCCCATAGCAGAAAAAATATTTCTGTTCTTACAGTAGTTTGGGCACAACAAGGCTCACTGCTGCCACCAACACAGGGAGAAGGTGGGCAGGTGTCAATTCATTTAAAGAAGCAAAAATTTGGTGACTGTACTCTACTCTATTCTACTCTACTCTACTCTACTCTACTCTACTCTACTCTACTCTTTGGTGACCGTATTCTAAACTGAAGATCCTTTTGCATTAGCCTCTCTTGTGTGAGCAACCCAATCTGTGCTTCAGATTTTAAGTCGACAAAGGGATCAGGGGCTCTATGGATGAAGATGGACCTCAGTAGGTGTTTCCAAAGGAGAAGAAGGATGCTCTTCTACAAGAGACCACTGCCAAACATCCCTTTTGCCAGTAAGGAGACCAGCAGTCCCATGCTGAGCCTCTCTACCCCAGTCACTCCTCACAGCCCCCAAGCAAACACCAGCACTGCCTCAACCCACCTGATCCCAGAAGATGTGCCCCCAGTAGTCCTCGCCCCGTGTGCCATTGGACAAGCCACCAGGGCTGATGCCATGGAAGAGGAATCCCGGTGTATCTTGGGGGGGGATGGCACTCAGCAGGTAATAGAGACACCCATAGAGGGCCTGTCTCAAAGGCAGTGGGCCTTCCAGGTCCACACAGCACCCTCTCCACAGAGCAGCCCAGGCATGGGTATGGGAGGAGTGCAGGGAGCCAGCTGCTACGTGTGCCAGCCCTTCGCTGTAGCTCCTCTTGGCCTCCTCCTCACTCTCAGCCACAGCTGTCAGGAACTCCCAGCTTCGCTCCTGCTCCTCCTCATGCAAGGTGACAGCTCGCGGCACAGGAGTCCAGAGCATATGCACAGTGGGCTGGGGTCCCCCCTCCACCTCAGGAACCAGTGTCTGCCCATAGACGTAGCTGCAGGAGATGGTGAGGAATGGGGAAAGGGAGAGCAAAGCACTGTGCACATAGAACCACAGAACGATTAGGGTGGAAGTGACCCAGGAGGAGTTAGTTCTGCCCTCTATTTCCATTAAACATCTGCAGCAATAAGCTCCAGTAATTAACTAGCTCCACTTCTTACACCATGTTGAAATGGAGGAGTTGGAGTTGGGTTGGAGGTGTTCAAGGCTAAGTTGGATGGGGCCCTGGGCAGCCTAGTCTAGTATTACATGTAACTATCGGTGCCTGTGGAGGGAGGGTTGGAGGTTCATGATCCTTGAGGTTCCTTCCAACCCAGGCCATTCTGAGATTTTGTGACCTCAAAGCCCACCAACCCCAAACCTGCTATGAGCTGGGTGCCCCCCAGCAGCTCAGGTTGCCCAAGGCCCCATCCAGCATGGCTTTGGGCATCTCCAGGGATGGGGCACCCACAGCTCTGCAGGGCAGCTGTGCAGGTTGAACTGCCCCTAGCAGCTGAGTATCTTTCCCCTGTTCCCATCAGATGACAGACTGATTACAGCTCCCTCACGGAAGCCATGTTTAAAGGTTGTCTCCTTCAAGATCACTGTCTTTTCCAAACTCATTTCTTTGTAACCACGTGTAGCCTCTGTGGTCTCTGATGCCATTTTACACGTAAGCATAAGTAGTAATTTCAGAGTCACAACTAATAAAAACTATTTCTATATTTAATTCTTTTTGCCTTGCCTGGCAGAAAGAAGCAGACGTACACAAACCTCAGTGATAGTTACCATTTCATTCTAGCTCTAGCTGTATGTTTTCAGTTTGTCTCCCATCTGTGAGCAAAGCAACATGATATAGCTTAGGCAGGACTCGCTCAGAGCTAAGCTCTTGGTCCACACTCACTATGCTCCTTGGAAGTCTGGTCCTTCCTGCAGGTCCAAGTCCTGGCTTTTTGGCACAAAAGGAGTCTGGAGCTGCACAGTGATGGGCTGGCTGATGCCAGCTGATCGCCGGATGGTGATGCTGAAGGCCATCAGGTGGACGAGGGAATGGTGAGCATAGATCCTGTGTGTGGCTGTATAATTGGTTGACTGAAGCTTATGGCTGAAGGTTCCTGTAAGTGCAGCAAGAGCCTTTTTAACCATTGGGTTCTGATGTTCTGCTTTAGCCTCCCAGTTCTACCAGTTCCTATTGGCAATGGAACTGTCTTTCCCAGGTCCAGATCCAAAAACAAGTCTTGACTGGGCATTACTGTTAACACCCTTAACTTGACCAAGCTGGTGAGGAGTGATTTGTGCCATTATATATTTTACTAAGCTTTGTGTTTGAGCAGCATTTGCTGAGCTTAGCACCAGCAGGGGCTGGAACATGGTCTCAAATTTGCTAGCTCTTTTCTCCACTTGCTCCAACACCAAATTAAAGGAATAATATGGGAAAGTAAGGCCTTCTGCATGCTGTGTCCGCTGCATTACTTAGAGATTACTTAGTATTCCATGCAGCTCAGACCTGAAATCTGCCAAATACCTTCCTCCCAGAAGGATGAGCAAAAACACCCTCCTTACCATTCTCCCAATTATACTTCCCAATGTTCTACCAAGATCAGAGCTGGCTATTGTCCAAATATAAGAGAAAAAACTGTTACAAACATGTAATGGAGTTCACCTAACATAGTCACTAGATGTCAACAAAACAAATGCCTGCATCTGAACAACGCAGTTGGATGCCTATGAGAATCAATGAAACTTAGGCTACAGTTCATCCAATTTCTTCATAAACTATTGAGTTTATTGACCAAACATCTTTTAACAACAGAAAGATATCCTGCTCATGTATTGCTCTTTACCTGTCCGTGTGTTCAAGGTGAAGGTCTCAACAGGTACATCCCCATCAGGCGCTGTCATCTTCACATTGACTGGGCTGGGGATGTCAGCACGGTGTGTGTCCCCCACCGCCCCATTGTACACACCATTGACATGAAGGATGTTGCGGTAGACACGTGTGCCCAGGTAAGCATTGGTCACTGTAGCAAGGAGCCGTGGGTCGGAGGGCAAACAAGTAGAGGTGAACACAGCAGGGTCCTCCTCGCCATTAGCCATCACTAGGCGGAGCTGCAAAATTAAAGGAAAAAGAAGACAATAAAAAATCAGAGGTGGGTTGGACAGGGCGTTGCCAATGGTTCCCACCAGAGCCTCCATCCCATGGCTTTCCTCCATCCCAGCTTTCCTTCCACTGTCTCAGGTGGGTCTGCTGCACGCAAGCTCATTTCCCTTTGTGAAACTTCAGACATCTCTAGGTGACCTGCCTACCTTACCCAAACCTCACATGCTCATTTCTTTTGTTGCTTTTCCAGTTTTTCCCCTCTTCTGTTGCCCTCTCCAGGTCGGGGTCTCAGCAATTTTTCCCAACACATCCCATCACATGTCCATCTTCCTCCCAACGTTATCAAGTATTCATTTATCCTTTATCCTCATACTACTCCTACACCTCATCTCCAGCTCAGCATGTTATCAGGCAGGAGCTGTATAATTAATGAATTTTTGGGTACGTCTCTACAAACATACACACAGCGCCTTGTAACCAGCACTGGGGGTACTCGGCACTGCAATAACACCAAAAACCACAGAGGTGGGACATGGATGGGCTCTGCAAGCAGAGCTGGGACATGGGCTGGCTGCACCCCAAAGCTCACAGGGTAATCACAGTCTGCTGGTGTCAGGAGGTTGGATGGCGAGGAAAGCCTTCCTCCTGCCTGCTGGGGGGTGAAGGGTGTGGGAGGTGTGCGGGTGAGGCCTTGCCTTGCGTTTCGGGTGAAAACTGCTGCCGTGGGGCCCTGCACAGGGAACAGCGGAAGTTACTCAACACAGAGAGGAAGAAGGAAATTGCTTTTCTTACCTCCCCTTCCTTATTAGCAAAATCAAACAACCTTGATCCTGGAATGTGGGTTTGCTCAGAGGAACTGCGCTCAGCATGGAACTGTGCAGGGAGAAACTGAAAGAGAAAAGTGGTCAGGCAAAAGCAATCCAGGAAATGCAGCAACGGTTGCGTTCCTGGCAGAGAGCCACAGTAACACTCCCTAAGGGATCATCAACATAAGCAATCACTGACAAGAGCCACCCTTTGTCTCTGACCAGGCTGTGACCCTCTTGCTTACCTGCTGAAAAGCCAGGCTTTATCTCCCAGATTTACTGCTGTGTAAGTTTCCAGTCTTTGAACTTGTGCTAGCATTGCAATTCTTTCCGGTGCTGGAGGACCCCTCCCTGACTTGCAGCATGATAAAGGCACAGGCACCATCCATCCCCATTCCTCCAACTCCAGTGCCTTTGGACGTTGTTTAAACCCCACAAACAGGCAGAGTACAGGAGGGCTTCTCACCCTGATTTCAATTCCCAGCCCCTGCATGCTGGTATAGATAGGCTGCAATGCCCGAAACTCATCCCTTATCATCTCCTTCAGCAAAGGGAGGTGAGCACTTCTCTGCAGATGTGCATTTGCACTCCATCAAACGAGAGTGAGAGCACAGCCCATGTGGCACTCATAGGGACAAACAAATCTCATTGAGCAGAAAGATCTAAGGTCGGTTCCTTGTGGGTGAACAGAGACACAGAGAGCACAGCAGCCAGATGCTGGGCCTCTCCTAGCAACCCCCTGCCTCTGGGCTGCTGCTTCAAGACGATTATCAATCCTATGCTGATGGAGTAAATACTGCACAGCTGTCCCACGGGCTGCAAATCCATCAAAAGCCAATACCTGACTCAAAGCTGCCATCGGAAGCAAACCCTTCAGAAGTGGCACCCAACCCCAACCCCATCTGCACCACAGAGTTTTGGGAGCTGTGAATAGGGTCACAGAGAGCAAAGCAGCACTCCCAATTCTATGACTGCTGGCAGCCCTTCTATGGAGCTGTTTGTAAGGAGAGAACAAAGCCGGGTTATTCAGCAAAGCAGGGACATGTCAAATGGAAAGGACATGACTTTTCCCTCTGCACACCATGGGGGCAAGAGCCAGGCTGGAGCCTTCCAACCCTTTCTGCTGTAGGGTCAGGGCAGGAGGAAAGCTTCAGCTGGCAGCTTTGACAGTCCACAACTTGCAGGACAGACAATACTACATTGAGGCACTTGGACGTGGCTTAGCGGGTATGGTAGTGATGTATTGATGGTTGGTCTTGGTGACCTGTGAGGTCTTTTTCAATCTTAGTGATTCCATTTAGGGACATGGTTTAGTGGGCACGGTGATGATGGGTTGATGGCTGGACTTGATAGGCACAGAGTTATTAGGGTTGGAAAAGGAAGGGGAGGTAAGATTCTATGCAAACACCCGCATGCGTGCGATTATAAGCCTGTGCATCCATTGGGCCCCAAGAGAAGAAAGAGAAGCCATGATTTGGACAAGTGCTTTCAGGCATTAGATCTGCATCACTCCAAGGATGCATTTTGCAATTGTATGGATTCAAGAAAACCTCCCCAAAATAGGTTTGCTCTCCAGCCAGAGACCTTTCTGTGGTGCCCTATTTCTTCCCCCTGGAGCTGGAGGAAAAGGAGGAAAAGGAGGAAAAGGGGGAAAACAGAGCCCTTTAGGAAGATCCTGACATTTACAGGCCCCTGCAGCTCTCAGGAGAGCCCTGGGCCCTGTGCCCAGTGGTGACAGCAACAAGGCACGCAGCTGCAGCCCAGCAAGAAGGCATTCAGCGCGTCAGCACCATGCAGGGCTTCCAGAGGGGCTCCCGGCTGCTAGCTGCACTGCTGCAGGCACAGAGGGTCCCCCGGGCTGGGGTCACCTCCAAGCCACCTGAGCACCCTGTCTCTCCTGCTGTAAGTAGCTGGTGGGGGTGTTGCAAGCAACAGTAAGGGGATGGGGGAGAGGGAAGTAGCTGGGGTCACAGATCAATGCTTTTCTTGGAATTTAAAGCAAGGTTTGTGTGTTTGGAAGTGGGAGTAAAAAGGAACTTTCAGTGGCACAGCCAAAGTGGATCCCCCTATTAAGAAGCCTGAAAGTACCAGGAAGAAGGTGGCAGTGGTCCCCCACCAACACAGGGCAGCCCCATGTCCTATTACCCCCCCCCCCCCGCCCCCAACACCAATTTCAGGGGACACTCACTCCCACAGCAGCTGTTCTCAAGGGCAGGGGTGGGTCCTGGCATCACTCCTTCCTTCTGCAGTGGGGATTACCCCCCACCCAAGCAGCAGCTGCAGGGATCTTCCTGGGCCAGGTGAGAGGAGGTAGAAAGAAGGAACCCTATGCCAGAAATCCCGGATAGTTCTCACCAGCAGCCTTGGCTTGGTAGGTTTACCCAATCTGTCTTTTCAAGGTCTGCCACTCTCAGGAGAGAGAGCTGCTCCACAAGCCCCATCTCTTCTTTTAGGTGAATAAGAAATAAAAGGGACAGCACAAGGGGGTAAGTGCTGCCCTTGTGTGCCAGGAATGGTAGAGACCTCTGCAGGCTGCTTGTCCCTTCTCAAAGTCATCTGAAAGTCAGGCACGGCTGATTCAGCAATGCTGTGAGCCCAGGCCTGGGTCCCACTGCTGACTGACAGCCACCAGTCGCTCTGATTCCCCAGCCAAGGTATGACTAAGACAGAGCAATAGGAACCAACTCAGAGAGTGGCCAGCATGAGCTGCTGCTGGAGGGAGCTGCAGGGCTTACCCAAATTTCCTGCAGCCCCCAAGGGCATTTATCTGAGCCCAGAAAGAGCAAGAAGTGCATCAGATTAGTACAGTGTCTAATGCAGTGTGCCATCATCCTGAAATCCCACATGTGCAGTCTCCTCACTAATCCCTCTCTTCCCTTTCCTACTGGCAGGAGCAAGCCATCGCGATGACTGTGATGTTCACGTGCCTGCTGGGACCTGCAGCCTGGGTCCTGGCCCATGTGAAGCACTACAGGAGCAGAGCAGACTGAGGAGAAGAACTGAGACCACAGAATGAGTCTACACCAAGGGAAGAACCCTCTGAGCATGTTCATTAAAACTCATGTTGGCATGAAACATCTGGCTCTGCTGGTTTTTCTTGGACCATGTGCTCCATTGCAGGAAAATGGGTTTGTTCTCTTTTCCTGATGCCACACAATCTGACAGCTCAGTTGGCAGGGAAGATCAAAACATAACAGCAATGGACTAGGGGGCAATGGACAATGGAAGGGGCAGGCATTCAGAACTGAGTCACCCTGAAACAAGAGGAAATTTGGAACAAATCTGATTAGAGGGAGAAGGGTGGGGCACAACTAGATGTAGGGTTCGACAATTTTGGCTTTGTTGTTTTTTCAAAGCTTAATTCTTCCTTGTCCAAGACATCTTAGCACCAACACAGCAGCATAGCATCAGCCACATTCTTTTTCCAGTTGCTGGCGTTAAACCCAGAGTCAAGACATCAACCTTGAGAAAGCATCATAAGGATCAACATTTCTGTACTGGTAACACAGCATATTTAATAATCAGAGAATCAAAATGCCACATAAGGCACCTGAATCACAGCAGCAATCAGGCTATCACTGAAAGAAAAACTACCCGTGGCTGCATAGGCAGCAGCAGCACTTAAAAAACAAAACCAAACAATTTAAATCCTAAAAAAAAAGTATCCAGTTACACTAACACGGCCCTGTTCAGTTTAAAATTACTGTTACAAATCTTGCTATCACACCACTGTTCAATTATTCTACTATGTATTATGAAGTACTGTGCATCCAAATGATTACTTGGACACAGCCCCCTTTCAAGCTTGGTTCACATTCTTGATGTGCAATCACCTTCTGTCTTTATAATCATATCTGCAACAGCAGAGTGAAACAAATCATGGGAAGTTCTAAAAGTTGTTAAGAGTTTAAAAAAAAAATAAAAATAAAAAAAAAAAAAATCACCAAACTAAATCTCCAAAACCACAAGGAAGTATCACTGCAAAGGTCTGAGGAAGGCCTAAGATTGTCATCTTAGGATTGTCATCTTAGGCCTTCCTCAGACCTTTGCAGTGATACTTCCTTGAGAAAAGCCATCAGACATCTTCCCAGAAAGAAAAAAAAAACTTGAAAATAAAGTCTATGCGTAGTAAAGTTCTACATACTCAATGAATCACATGCTGCTGGTGACTCACAGACTAATTCAACCTGCACTGCTCTGGGAAGAAGGTTATTTTGTTGTTGACTTTTAAATACAAAACTCTAAAGGAAGCGTATTTGTAACCAGTCCAGAGACCCAACTACAAAAGAAGCACTACAGAACTACAGAAAAGGGAAGGCAGAGTAGTTTATTCCAGCAGTACTGCTGCAATTCACTTTAGCACAAAGTGTTCATAAAAGACAACCACCCCCAGAAGTATATAAAACCAAATCCACTGAATGGTAATCCTGGAAAAAACCCTTTGATGGAGTAAACACTCCCTCTACTGCAAATGAAGAGGAGGGACTGTGGAGAAAGAGGGCAGTAGAAATGATTTTGATAAAGCTGCCTTCAGGCTGCTGCAGGGCAGGGAGGGAGAGGGTACCAGGGAAGGTCATGCCCTCCTAAGGCCAACACCACTAAAGTAATACCACATACAATGGTCAGGCACCTCTCTAGCACATTTTATAGAGGAGCTTCTGCTATCCCCTCAGTGGGCAAATAGCCTCCACTCCTGTAACATGCAATGAGTATTCACATCCTCCCACAGTTTGACAGCAGGACTGATAGATCAGCCACCACTGAGCCTTTGACCTCTTTGTTCAAGAGCAGGATGGGAGCTCCCATGGTCAGTGCCATGTCAGCACTAATGTTAGCGCATAGGGAAATCTTGACTCCAAGCACCAAAGGGTTACACAGCAAAAGGCCACTTACTCCTCCGAACACGTATCATAAAGCTGCTCTCCCCTTCACCCACCCACCCCCCTTCAATATAATTCAGTACAGAGTCAGTGGTCTGAGTGCTGCTAGCATCAGTAGCAGTAGAAGTTCCTCTTCCAGGATAGTGCAAGGTCCTCTATGTCAGGATGTCATGGGCTTGATGCTCCACCAACATCTCCATGCTTTTCACATCTGTGCACCAGAACTCCAGGCGATCTTTCATTCCTTTGATCTGGAAGACAAACCCACAGTAACTTGACTGCTCCAATCACTACAAACGGCAAAATACTGGAGATCTCCAACTTCTCAGAACATTTGTTATGAAGGTGAACTTGAGAAATTCAGCACCTTCTGTCTTTATCACCCTGACCTACTCTCTTCCCAAGAGAAGACCACCAGCTGCAGCTTGTTCCTTGTTTCATACATTTCTGTTTGAAGGAGCCACATCCTGGAAAACGGTCACTTCACTGAAGTTTTCTGGTGGTTTTTCAAAGGGAAGTGTTTCTATCAGTCTTTCTCCTCACAAATCTGTAAGCAGTTACTGCAAAACACATACATATGCACCATATACACAAGGAAGGAGCTAAAGGCTACGTAAATAATGGAAGAGAAGCAGATATAGTTCTGAGTTTCCTGCACACCTTCAAGGAGCAATTAAGATCTGTTCTCAGTGACCTTTAGCAGTTCTTATTTCAGCTTCCAGGTCAATTAAGGCACAAGAAAATACATCAATACTGCCACAGTATTCCAGCTGGTCATTACCTGCTGTAAATCCAACACACGTGGCTGCACCCACGTCATGTGCACCCTCTTATCCACTTCATCAATACTGCCCTTTACCAAGCCTACTGAGAGAGCCTTCATCACCAGCAGTTCCACCTAAAAAAAAAAAAAAAAAAAAAAAGGAAAAAATACCAAGAAAACAGGGGATCGCCCATTTTCCCCAAAGATGTACAAAACCTTTAAATGGGTCCAGTCTGTGATTTTTTTTAAGGAAAAAAAAAAAAAGATCAAGGCCTGCAGCATCTCTCATACCCACCTTGCTTTAAAGAAAATAATTTGTACAGAGGGTGAGGAGCTGCATCTTTCTTTTCGCAAGATATTCAACAAGAACTTTTACCACATCCTTGCTGAACAACCTAGTTAGAGCATACAGAGAGACCACAGGATGAGAGTTTTAGCAGGTTCTTCCTGCAAGTTCAAAGGCAAGCTTAATGTCTCAGAATTGAGCAGGCAGCTGATTATAGAGTTTCTCATGAGTTGACACTGGGTCAAATACTAATAAACACTCTTTTAACGCTAGCAGGATAGCAAATTTACAGATGACACCAAAGTGGTAGGAGAGGTAGAGATGCTGGAAATAAGAGCCACCATAAAGACAGATCTCTGTAGATCACACTACACAATTCTTCTTAGCTCAGTGACAACAAGCATGAAGTCCTGAGCCTAGATGAAAGAAGGCCAGGGGAAACATCATCATAGCCTTTCAACATATAAAAGGCAGCAACAGAGAACGTGGAGGTGCTATTCTCACATGGACGCACAGTGAAAAGAGGGGAGACAAGAGTCAGAAGTTGTTTCAGAGAGAATTCTAGCTGGATAAACAATAAATTCTTCACAGTGAAAAAAATTAAACACCAGTGACATGGCAAAATCTCCCCTTGCTGGAAACAGTCAGCACAGTTTGACGGAGTCCTGGATAATATAAGTGAAAGGCCTGCTTGCAAAAACAGGTTGGAACAGATGCTTAAGAATCTTCCAGATCCACTTATTAACAGATAGGAGCAATTTCTTCTAACAGTGTTCACCAAACACAAGAACAGGGGAGAAGATTCACACTTAGGGATCCATGAGGGAGTGGATCCAGTCAGAATGTTTCAGAACTTAAAAACTTCAGCATCAAAACATCAGTTTAGCCCTGAACTCACCTCGTTCACAGTGACTTTGGCACTCTTAGCAATCTCCTCAAAAGTGAGCTGCCTGTGATTGGCTGGGCGGGTGAAAGTCATCTGAGTTCAAGAAAAGAAAAAAAATAAGGCCTCACAGTTCATAGAATCACAGAATCACAAGGTGGGAAAAGATCATCTAGTCCAACCAACCTCCCATTACCATTGCTACCACAAGCACTAAACCAGATCTTGTTGCTCCTCATCCAGACACCTCTTGAACACTACCAGGGACGGCGACTCCACCACCTCCCTGGGCAGCCATTCCAGTGCCTGACTATTCTTTGGGAGAAATAGTTTCTCCTTATGTCTAATCTCAGCCTCCTCTGATACATCTTGCGGCCATTTCCTCAGGTCCTGTTTGTTGCCTGGAAGAGGCCAAACCCCTCCTCACCACAACCTCCCTTCACGAAGCTGTAGAGTGCAGTGAGGTCTCCCCTGAGCCTCCTCTTCTCCAGACTGAACAATCCCAGCTCCCTCAGCCGCTCCTCATAAGACTTGTGCTCCAGACCCCTCACCAGTTTTGTTGCCCTTCTCTGGACACCTTTCAGGGCCTGAATGTCTTTTTGGTAGTGAGGGTCCCTGAACACAATACTCAAGGTGTGGCCTCACCAGTGCTGAGTACAGGGGATGATTACCTCCCTGCTCCTGCTGGCCACACTATTTCTAATGCAGGCCAGGATGCTGTCGGCCCTCATGGCCACCTGGGCACTCTGTTGGCTCATGTTCAGTCAAGCATCAACACCCCCAGGTCCCTTTCCTCTTCACAGTCATCCAGCCACTCATCCCCAAGCCTGTAGTGCTGCATGGGATTACTGTGGCCAAAGTGCAGGTCCCAGCACTTGGCTTTGTTGAACCTCATTCCATTCAACCTTAGCCCAGCAATCCAGCTTATGTAGATGCCCCTGAAAGGCCTCCCTACCCTCAGGCAGATCAACACCACCTCCCAACTTGGTGTTATCTGCAAACGTACCAAAGATACACTCAATCCCCTCTAGCGGATCCCCAATCTACATCATCAATAAAGATACAAATAAACAAGATGAGCCCCAGTACCGACCCCTAGAGGACACCACTTGTAACGGGTCACCAGCTGCACTTTCCAGCTCCATTCACCACTACCCGTTGGGCACAGCCCTCCAGCCAGTTCCTTACCCAACCTGTCCAGGCCACGGGAAGCCAGTTTCCCTGGGAGAATACTGTGAGAGATCATGTCAAAGGCTTTGCTGA